AGGAGATGACAAATCAATAGCGTTGCTGGCTGCAAGGAGTAATTACAATGACTTACACATATTGCTTGCTTCTAAATTAACCAGGAGCACTCAGGAGTAGCCCCGTGTCTCTCTAAGGGCAGCTGGCTGGAAAACAACATGTTGTGCACAGAAGAGATGAGGAACAACAAAGTCAGCCGTGAGGGAAAGAGGAGGGTAAGGAAGGAAATATTTAACAGTGGTGTGGAGAAGGTTTTGTGCTTGCTGTAGGTGCTTCAGCTGGTTAGCTGTGTTGTGTCCAGGCATCCAGGACAGGGGGGAAAAGGAGGAGGGCACCCAAGAGCTGGGCAGTGCAGGGCAGGGGCACCGCTGGGCTGTGGCAGCTCAGCAGGAGCTGGCACAGGAGGAGACAGCGTGGGAGACAGGCGGCTGTGATGGATGCCGCCCACGTGCTGTCCTCTATCTCCCTGCCAAGGGGCTGTAAGCACACTTCAAGGAGAGGAAAGGAACTGCCATTTCCTATCCCAATCTGCAGGACTCGCTGCTGCAGGGCTTTCTGCTAGCCAGGGGCTTAGCCAAACTCAAATATCACCCATCCCTCACTCCCAAAGGGTTTTGTCTGGCAGTGAAGAAGACCAAGTTGAACATGGCAACGGGAAACCTTCAGGCCTGATGGCTATTAGCTTTTGTCTTTGAAAAGAAAATGCTGACATTTATGAACCCCTCCAGTCTCTGCCTCTCTTTCCAGAGGGCACCACTGGCCATGCAGGCTCTGCCTTCCCAGGGACACAGGCAATCCTGGGACCCCGCACTTCAGTGTGGGCTTCAGGGATGTCCTGTGCTCCCCAATACCTGCAACCTCAGCTGAGTTTGCATGTCACAGCTCCCTGCAGTGTGTCATCCCCCTGGTGCCCTCAAACGAGGTCAAGCCAGCCAATACTTGTCCTCAGGAGGTGACTTCCAAAGTCCCCACTACTGCTCTGCCCTAGCAATGGGGTGCTGCCTAATTGCCTCCTTCCACCTTCCTGTCCTGCTGGGAGCCTCCCTTGCTCCCTCCCAGAGCCAGGAAGGCTCATTACGACTTGTGCAGTGCTCGCACAGGGAATGCACCACGATTCCGGAGCATCTGGCAAAGGAACAGCCCCCGCACAGCTGCTCGTGCTGCAGCAACAGACCTGACTGGCAGCAGCTGTCCTTACTAGAGGTAGTAGCTCCGGAATCATGTGGGGCACTGTGTTTCCCAGCAGACCAGGGCATCAGGCTGTCCCAAAGCGAGCTGTCCCTGTCCTCTGGCACAGAGGTTGAGCTGCTCCCGGCTGCCACCCATTCCTGCACACCAGCGTCCCCATCTCTGGCTTCCCTCAGCCTGGCATGCTGGGCGTTCTGATCCCGGCGAAATGTGGCTTCAGCATTCCCATGGAGCCTCCAAAAAGCTGCCTCCACACCATCCTGGGGCAGCTGCAGGGTGCAGCTCGGTGTGACCCAAGTCCCCCGCCTTGTCCCTCTGTTACTGCCCAAGGCGGTGAGGAGCAGTGCCCAGTCCCTGGCTGTGGCTCACAGGCTGGACAGCCAGCTCCAGCCCTCCTGCTCTACCACAAAGAGGAGATGGGGCACGGCAGAGCCTGTGCCCACAGGGACAATGGGGAAGTCCCAAAACCTGCCAGAAGCAGGTCAGAAAAGAAAGAAAGAGAAGAAGGATGTCCTCCGCCTGATGAAGAGTCAGCCTGCTGTCTGGTTAATGAAGGTGACTAAAAGAGCATGAGGCAGTATATTTACTACATGTATGTATACTTTGCAGCCAATGGTTACTTTTCTGTGCTCAGCTAAGGAGTACAACACACCCTCAAGTCAGAAGGCAAACGGTATTTTGTTTCAATGCATTTCACTGTGGCTGCTGAAAACAAAGGGATGAAAGAGTTCCCACCTCTGATTAGTGGCAAATAAGGCACAACCAGCCAGAGCAAAGCAAAAATTCCAGCTCCCCACAAACCCACAGGGGTGAATTGAACACTTGTTTTCACCTACAGAAGGGTACTTGGTCCACTAATACTGGAAACTAAAGATCAGGTGCTGTCTGTGCCATCAGAGCAGCAGCAAATAGAGCAGTACAATTCACCTCTGTTGGCTCAACAAGGCTCTCACTGGCTTGCAGTGTTATACAGCCTGTGGAAACCTGCACTTGAGGGTCCAGAAACCAACTGCTCACATTTTGTTAAACCACAGTAGATGGAGACAGGCCAGCAGAACACTCTCCTTCCTCAGGAGGCATCTCTTGTCTTGCAGCCACACTGTATCACCCACCACAATCACAAAAACATTGTTTTTCCTGTCTTTGGCCCGGTGCAGTTTTTGTTTGGCCGCTTTCCTTTAGCTCCTCACCTAGGAGCCACTGATGAACAATCCTCACAAGCAGTCCCCACATTCCCTGAGGGAAACTCTCCCGGGGGTCACACTGATCAGAGCCAAAACACGTTGAACTGGCCCCAGAATCACACAGACAGGCGCACTCCCCCTGCCCCAGGCACGGAGGCATGTGCACACAAACACCCCAGCTCACACTCACTTGCTGCTTGGTAGTAAAAGTGGGTGAACTACACAGGGATTAAAGCATTAAAAAAAAAAAAACACAGCGAGAATACAGTGCTTGAAAGAGCCGTGTCCCTGGAGAGATTAGAGTAGCTGCCTGGAGATAAAGTAATGATGATGGAAAGATCTTCTTCCTCACAGAGATTCTCTCCCTAATTATCTTGTCTGAAAAGAAAAAATGATGATCTCCCAGCTTTTATCTGTCTCTTGACAATTTTAGCTCTGTGCCTGCCTTGTTGCAAGAGGCCCAAAAGAGGAAGGAGAAGGAATTAGCCCAGGAGGCAGGAATGGTAGGAGAACGAGCGGCACAGGAGGCAGTGCTTCATTTTTGTCACCACCAGCAGCGACAAAAAAGGAAAACATGAATGATCACTGCAGCTTTGTCTACCCAAGCCCAAAGGCTGCTTCCCTGCCCGCAGCACTGCTCTGTCAGGCACAGCACAGAGGTGTCCTGTGGCGTCCATCTGGTGCAAGTCCTTTCCTAACCAAATATCTTACATAGCATAGTTTCTATTTTAACATTATGTTATAACCTAAAACAGTATTTAATAGTTAATTTAATACTTAAGAAAATTAATACAGCATAACTTTCTAACATAACACATACAATATTCATTTTAATACTTGTGAAAAGCCAATCATAAAATACACATTTTTCACACAGGAGGTCGGATTCACTGCCGAACCTGTGCAAGAGATTAACAGGGTGTTGTTCTCCCCACCATCACGGGGCACAGCTTGGTGCTACAGCCAGGGAAGAGGACTCCTGAGCTGGCAGGGGCAGGAGAGTGCCCAGATTGTTCCTCCCCCACTCTTTTCCTTCTCAAACAGCTGGAAAGCAAATTCTTCCTTCAGCAGGCAGCGAGCAGCAAGAACATTTCAAGCACCACGTGAAAAATCAGACCCATGAGCCACTCTGCAAGACAAGGATGGCCACTGATGGAAAACCAGGCATCACACCCAGCAGCTGGGGCTTTGCACAGGAGAAGTCTTTCCCTCGGCATTATCCTGGAGCTTGCTGCTTCTCCATCCTTGTTAATTTCGGATGAATGCAACCCTAAACCTCCCTGAAAACTGTTTTAGAGGCAATCGGTGTTTGGTTAGCAGGGAGAAGAGACAACAGAGGTTTTGTAGCAAGCCCAGAGCCAAGAAAAACCTCAAAACAAACAGACATTACAAGCACAAAGCTACGGAGGGCGGGAGGGAGGCGATTTTCTCCGTGGGGATGGAGGCTGGTGCTATAGGAGCTGTTTGCGAGCTCATGATTCATCCCCACAGCATCACTTTCTCCTTCTAAAGAAGGGACTCCTGTTGACATGCAAACATGAGCTGTTGCCTCTCCCACACAATGAGAACCGTGTCCAGTTCTGGAGTCCCCATCTCAGGAAGGACATTGAGGTGCTGAGGCATGTCCAGAGGAGGGCAATGGAGCTGCTGGAGTGTCTGGAGCACAAATGCTGTGAGGGGCAGCTGGGGGAGCTGGGGCTGTCCCGCCTGGAGAGGGGCAGGCTCAGGCACCGGATCACTGCCCAGCTCCCTGGGAGGAGGCTCTGGCCAAGTAGGGTCAGCCTTTTCTCCCAGGAAACCAGACGGGACGAGAGGACGCAGTCACAAGCTGCACCAGGGGAGGTTTAGGTGGGACATTAGCAGGAATTTTTTCACAGAAAGTGATTAGCCATGGGAACGGGCTGCCCAGGGAGGCGGTGGGGTCACCGACCCTGGGGGTGGGTAAGGAAAGGCTGGGTGCGGCACTCAGTGCCAGGCTGGCTGACATGGGGGAGTTCGGTCTCAGGCTGGACTCCGTGATCTCAGAGGCCTTTCCTAACCTGATTCTGTGGGAAATTTTTTTTTTTAAAAAACCAAACCAAAACAAACCAAAACAAAAACAAAACCCCAAAAAACAAACCAACGACAAAAAAAAACCCACACCACCAAAATTTCCCCAAATTGCTCCTTGTCCTTATATTTAGCCTTGGTTTTTAAAAGAAAAAAAATACCTAGAACTAGGCCCATAAGAGGTTTTATGACGCCAGCTTGGGGGCCGGGGGGGGCCGGCACAGCACAGGCGCGCCGCGGCCACCCCACGGCCGCCAGCGCCCCAAGACCCCGCGCGGCGGCCGGCAGGGAGCCAGCCAATCAGACGCGCCGGGCGGCGCGCCCCGTCCAATGGAGGCCGAGGGGGCGGGACTTCCCGCGCCGGTTGCTATGACAAGCGCGGCCCTTCCTTAGCAACGGCGCTGGGCCGCGGCGGCCGCGCAGGTGAGGCCGCGCCCGGCGCTGCGCGGCTCCGCTCGGTGCCGCTGGCCGAGCTCTTCCTCCGCGGGGACGAGGGCGGCGGGGCTGCTTCGGGTGTGCGGTCCGCTCGGGCCGCGTTCCGCTGCCTCACGCCCTCGGGCTGTGGCCGCGGGCACGCCCAGGGCCGGGGGTGGGTGTTGAAGGGGCTCCCGGGGGTGGCGCCGGCCCGGCGGGGTTCTGTCCTGCGGAGGTCGTGGCTTGGGTCGCCTGCGGGTCCCACGGGCCCCATGTGACTGTTGGTGGTCTGACTCGGTGCTTTAGCCGACAGCTCTGTGTACGTGGCATCCATGATTGGTGTGTCGCCTGGCACCGTGTTGGCTTCGTTTTCCTTTTAGTATCAGCTCACCCTTACTCCCCTGGGTAGGAGAGGAAGATGCTTTGTTGTGGGGGAGAGAAGCAGAGGGAGGACGGCGGTGGACTGCTCTGAGTCTCTCCGCCAGGGCTGTGCTCTGCGGTGCCCAGGCAGAGGCAGGCTGGTGATGCGGCCCTGAGGCACGGCCGGAGTTTTCCCATATGGCCCTTCCCAGCTGACAAATGCTCGGGGATCTGAGGAGCAAGTGCACAAACGACACCAAGATGTTCCTGTTAAACATTTCCGTCCAGACGAGTACGCAGATTCTGTGCCTAAAATACTCCTGCCCTTCCCTTGTCATGTGCAGCTTGAAACTATTGCAGATAATAGTGTCCTGGGAAAATCCTTTTGGAATTAATCAAGAGTGGTGGCAGCTGATATATTGTTCTCTTGTCCTCTCCTGAAAGCTGTGACTTGGCTCAGCTCTTCCCTCAAGCTCCACTGGTGCTTCTGGGAAGTGCTGTGCTCCTCACTTAAGGAGAAAGATACGGTTTAATAATTTGTTTGCATTAATGGTCTGTGAGCTAAGACTCTCAGGGGGGTGTGAAGGTGCTGTTGAGGAAATGGCAAGTGAGTGAGATAGCATGATATTCTCGTAACAGTTTCATTTGCCTTTTGTTTTCATTGAAAGCCGTCTGTCTCTTGCCCATGTTTGTTTTTGTTGAAGCAGTGTCCTCTAGGCCAAGAAGCGACTCCTCCTGCTGAAGAGAGGAACACAGAGCCCTGTTCCTCTCAGCTGGCTGTGCTGCAGCACTTTGCTGAACTCCAGGTAGCCCCTCTGCCCCTTCCTGGAGTCTCTGTGGACGGACCATGGAAGAAACTGAGGAGGAAAAAAAGGACGAGGCTGATTATAAAAGGCTTCACAGTTTTCCTCTGATTAGGGTATGGAGGGAGATGGATTACACATTTACCAGTGTAATGTGAGAGATATGAAAATCTGCCTTCATTCTTACTGTCCTTCTCCTGCTGCGTAGCTGCTGTGAGAACATGAGTACTGCTGGTCCTGTGGAGAGATGCTGGTTGTCACTGCTGCTTTCTCCTTGTCCTTGACCTCTCCTGGGGAAATCTAATAGCTCTGGTGTTCCCTATGACAGCCAGAGGAAGCCTGGGGCAAAGTGATCCATCAAACAGATTGAGAGCACGCTGCCTTTGGAGCCCTCTCTTGTGTTTTGGATGCAGCTTGCTTTTTGTCCTGGAGAAGCTGGAGCAAAAGATCTTGCTGGCCAGCCAGATAGCGGCAGCAGAAGAAAAGGCTGTGTAATTTAGACTTCTTTGTTACTCATGTAGCAATAATTAAGGGTTGTGGTGGAAACAGTGTTAGTGTTACAGCAGTGCTGTTAGTTACAGCAGAAAAACTGGCAGATGTCTTGATTTCCTTCTTTAAGCTGTGCTTACACAGTGCTAGTTTTCATGTAGGTAGAGAAGAATTCCTCATTGGCTGGAGGAGGAGTTCACTTATAATACAATAAGCCTTTTCATGTTTACTACATCTAAGCCCCTGATAGAGCCAGTGCAGAAGTTAGAGCAATTTACTGTTGTCCTGTGTGCAGCTCTTATTTTTCTGCTTCCTTGTCTTGTGCGATTGCCCCGTGCAGCACTCGGACATGCCGGAGGAGATGCGCGTGGAGACCATGGAGCTGTGCGTCACGGCCTGTGAGAAGCACGCCACCAACAACGAGGTACACACCCCAGGGAGCCTCAGCAGCACGGATAAGGGTGTAGGGCCCAGCAGAGCCAGGTCCTCACATCCCATTACTCTCTGCACTAAGCTAGGGTAGAAGGAGGCAAAGAGCTTGGCTAGATCTCAGATTCAGTTCCCTTGGTCTGCAAGATCTGTAATAGCACTTTGCAGAGATTAGCAGAGGTGCTGGCTTCCAGACCTTACCTCTTTGCTTATCCTGCCTTCCTGAGACATGCTTCCACTCTGTTCATAAAATGCCTTGTGTCCTGAGGGCTTGGCTCAGAACGGCATGGAGTATCTTGTTTTGGGGATGAGTACATGAAAGTCTGTTAAATATTCCCTCTTGGCTTTAGGACTAACGATCAAGGGAAGACATACCTTGCTTCGTGGGCAGGGCACTGCCTGTCACTGAAAAATATTCCTCTTGCCTTTTTTAGGATCAAGCAGGGTGTGATCTGGGAGAAGCAAGCCTTTTAAAAGTCAGCCTACTTTCAGTGTTTTGGTAATTAGCTGGAGAAAAAAAAATGGACTCCTGTAAAAATAGCTGCAGCTTAGTGACCTGAATCTGCTCTCATGGTCACCGCAACCATTATAACTCCAGCAGCATCTAAAGCAGAACTCTTGCTTCAGACTGTGTGAATAACAGAAGTGATGCAGTTCTTTAATTTTTCCTTGCTGTTGTGCTGGAGGCTGCTGAGACGAGTGCTACCCTTGGGTTTACCTCTGGGGAGCTCCCAATTCCTGAGGTGCAGCTGTTACACCTGTTGCCCATGGCTTGAATAGTCTTAAAGGGAGGAGGATATTAGGGTAATGTTTGCATAAAACCTCTCTGGTTGCTTTGTCTCACCCTATGCTGTCTTCCTTAATGTTCTCCAGAGCGCTGCCAAGATGATCAAAGAGACGATGGACAAGAGATTTGGGTCCTCCTGGCATGTGGTGATTGGGGAAGGCTTTGGCTTTGAGATCACTCATGAGGTGAAGAACCTGCTGTACATGTTCTTTGGTGGCAGCCTGGCCGTGTGTGTCTGGAAGTGCTCCTGACCCCTGGCTGGGTCCCAGACTTGCTGAATACAAGAGATTTCTTCCTGCTTTTGACAAGTTTTGTATGATCTGGAGGTGGGGCTTTATTTTTAATACTTAAATGTCAAGATTTCTTTTTTTCATACTGATGTAACAGTTCTGTGGGATACATAAAGTTGGTGTGTGTGTGTGTGTATAAATTTGCTAAACTGTCCTGTCCTTGCTTGTGGGATTTCTCATCTCTCTGTGGCTCTTTCCTTGGTGTTTGAGCTGGAGCAGGAGGGAAGTGAGGAATAGGTAATCTCACAACACACTGCACAGCAGTGCCAGCAGGGGAGAGTGAAAGCAAAAAGGTGCCATCTAGCCCTATGGTTTTTCTTAACTCCCCTTTATTCCACATAGTTTTCCTCTCTCCTCTGCTTTCTCTGCTACCATGCAGTATGGCTCTGACCAGCACCTGTCTTTCCTCTCTCTGAATGCTGCTTATACGTTCTTCCTTTCTTCTAAGATGTCTGTGCAGACCTGACAGCACCAAGGGTCTCCCTTCAGGCTGTCTGTGGAGGTGTGAGCCACAGGGAAGCAGTCCCAGCTTGCCCTTCCCTGCTGTTTTGGGAGGGTACAACAGCTGAGCTGCCTGGGTGTAGGAGGTTGCTATGCAAACTGCCCCCTCCTTTCTCACCCACAGCACACTGAGACAGCATGAAAACACAGGCGGCTGACGATGCCTAGGGAGTGGGTGAGAGCTCTTTTTAAGGCTCAAATGCCTCCCTGTCAGTTCCTGGGGGTGTTGCAAGTGCTGTGTACTTTCAGCATCTTGTTTGGAGGCTGACAGAGAAAGGAGGCTCCATGTGAAATATAACTTGGTCATCAGAAACCTAATGTCTTTCTGGACTTGCATTCTTTTAGCCTGTTTCATTTTTTAAAGCTGTTGCTGTTGGAGGATCGAATGAGCGTAACTATGTTACATGTATGGCTTATTTATAAAACCTGGGGAACTGTGTTTTTACAATAAAAGTTTCGTAAAATGTCTTTGCGTGTGTTTATGTAGGCAGAGTAGTTCAAGAAACATGCAAATAAGTAAGCCATGGTGTGGCACAGGCAGAGGCCAGTGACAGAGTTCCATCCTGCTGGTTTCCTGTGTGACTCTCATCCTCCCTGTTCAGTTCCATTTACCAGTGCAAGCCACGGTGGTGAGGAGGGTTGCCAGGCCCATGGTGCTGCTGACCACATCCCTCTGTCCTGTCTGACAGGCAGCTGCCTAAGCAGCAGCAGTAGCGAGGGAATGTAACTGTCTGCTGCTTCACCAGTGTGCCTCAGCTCTGACTGTTGGAGTCTTGTATTTGTGCCTTCCTTAATTTTCAGATTTGCTCTCAGAATGTTGCCAGCTGACACTTCTAGTCCATAGTTAAATCTGAAGGATCTTTCTGCATTAATGCCTGTGGTGGATCAACCTGGTCTTACAATTCCTTTTGTTCCTTTTTCTGAACCTCAAGTGTTATGCTAGAGATGTCCTTTCTCAATTTCATTGTGTCAGGGAGCCAGGAGTTGGAGCAATATGAAGATAACTAAGAATTATTTCAAATTTGGACCATCGGTGCTTGGCTGGGCCAGGGTAGGTTGGTACCATGATTCCTGCCCCATGATCAGGATTGCTGTGCTGTGTGTAAGAGCCCAATCCTCTGAGCTCTCATTGTGCAGTTGCTCTGTGTCCCTCCAGCTGCTGCCTTTATGTGAAGATAGTGCTATTGACAACACTTTCTACAGCTGGCAGGTGGAAAAGATTATTTCCTCTTCTGCAACTTCCTGTCTCTTCTAAATTCAGAGCAAGAGGTAAAGTCTTTGAAATGCCCCAAGCTGGAGTGGGATGATCCCTTCAGCAATACCACGGTCACTTTAATTGTGCCTCTTTCACACTAATGAATAATTAACTGCTCTGTGCATATGCACAGACACGCTGGTCATGGGCATCTCTGCAAGGTTGGGGTGACCTGCAGATGACCACAGGGAGCTGCTGACATCAGCACACAGTCTCTTGGACTTGCTGCCTGTTTATCTTCTTGGCCACCAGCTGATCAAAGCTGATGTCTCTGTGACCTGCACCGGCAGCAAGGGAAGGGTGAGTGCTCCCCAGCCTTCTCAAAGCCTGAGTGTGCAAACAGATTGAGGTGAGCTAGGTGTGAATGTGCAGCAAGTCAGCTCCCACACTGCCGTTCTCACCAGGTAAGTGCAAGGTGCTCACAGGAGAGTGGCAGGCTATTTTTATTCACAAGGGTAACAGCTTTCCTACAGGAAGTCACCTTGAGGCAAACCCTTGTTAGCTGGTTTGCATTCCTGTCATTGGCATTGTACCTGAAAGTACAAGCCTCAGCCTCCCAAAATGTGGCTGTGTGTCAGATCCATTGTCCTGCCTGTTGCATGTTGAGCCATCCTTTGCTGGCCTCTGTGTGTTAGAAAAAAGACTTCACCCTCCTTTTGCCATGCAACTGGAACATCTTTGGACATACCTGTAATTTTCAGAGGATTAAGGTTTATGGATCAGAGGTGGAACCTTGTCCTGTCTTTTCCCACAAGAGACACCTCTGTGGCTGATTAACCTGCTGGATCCAGTCCAAAGGAGGCCACGAAGATGATGAGAGGGCTGAAGCACCTCTGTGATGAAGACAGGCTGAGAGGTTTGTAGTTGTCCAGCCTGGAGAAGAGAAGGCTCTGGAGAGACCTTATACAGTACCTAAAGGATGCCAACAGGAAAGCTGGAGAGGGACTTTTTGGCAGGGCCTGTTGTGATAGGACAAGGGTTAGACTAAAGGAGGTTTGTTCTAGATTGGATATAAGGGAAGGGAAGTGTTTTAGGATGAGGGTGTGAAACACTGGAACAGGCTGCCTAGAGGTGGTGGGTGCCAGACCCCTGGAAGTATTCAGGGATAGGTTGGATGAGGCTCTGAGCAATACAATCTAGTTCAACGTGCCCCTGGTCATTGCAAGGACATTGGACTGGGTGACCCCTAAAGGTCCCTTCCAACCCAAACTATGATTCTGTGAGGCTTTAGAACCTCTAAGGCCTCTCTACTTTTTACTATAAAACTGCTCTCAGTTGCTGGAGGATTTTTCCTTATGGATTTTCAGTGGAAAGCTGGGAAATTTGGCAACAGTTTGCTTGCTATTGTGTTTCCCTCTCATTTCTTGCCCCCCTGCATATTGCTGCCATTACCCATCAAAGCATCAGGCTGAGTCAGATGTAGAAAATGAGATGGAAAACGCAGGGTGATGGATGGGTGGCAGCCAAAATGACTCTTTCTATCCACCCGTCCCCTAAAGCTGCGATATTAGCTCAGAGGCTGTGCCTCATGACTTCATCCCTCCCTGCTGAGGGGAGATGGGAACATCATTATCGGCTGCTGATGAGTCCTGATTTGGAGCCAGCAGTGAAAATGTCCTCGGATGTAGGGCTCCTCCTCCGCCCCAAGGGTGACTTGAACCTGCTGGGAAGACGGAGGAAGAGCTGGAGGGGGGACATGAGAAGAAAGAGGTGCAAATTCAACCCTGTCTCTATGATGATGTCATGGCAACAAGTCAGGTGATCAGGGCAGACTTTGAAGGTCTCCAGCCCTTCTCTGTCGCGGCAGGCTCACGTCTGACTCGCTGAAATACCTTTTGGTTAATATTTAATGCCAGCATTGAAGTGCTAAGGGTGGCAAATGCCTCACCTAAGCCCCCTGCCTTTGCTTTGCAATGGGATGCTGAATCAGGGTGAGCAGGTAGGATTGCAAGTTTCATTATCTGGGAATGGGACTAACAGTCAGCAGGGTGGCTTCAGCCCACAGGGTCCCTGTGCCCATCTGACTCCAGGACAGGAGAAAGAGGTTTCTATCCCCTCCAGCCCTATTTGGAGCAGGTTTGGGGCACTGGAATGAGGAGGCGTCCCTCTCTTCAGGGCTGGCTCTGGATTAATGAAACCTATGACCGTGCTCCGGGAGCCGAGCCCAGCTCCTTTGATGTTATCAGTTAGTACACAGAGTTGGTGTTTTGGTTGGTTGGTTGCTGTTTTTCTGAGCCATGACCTAATGATCCCATGTTCCAGCTACAGCCCCTCCTAGAGGCCTTCTGTCTGAAACCTGTGTCCGGACTGAATTCAGCAAACTTCCCGGAGCAGGACGCCGTGTTCCTCCACCCAGGGAAGCCATCTGCTCCCCTCCACCAGCTCCTTCTGCGGGGCTTCGAGCTCGCCAGCCGGGCTGGAAAGCTCTCCTCCTCCTCCTCGCTTGCCCCGGCTCTCCTCGGCCATCTTGCCAGCAGAAGGCTCGGGAACGCGGGGCCGGCTGAATCTGGGGCGGTGATGGTGTCAGCCGGAGGCGGTTTCCAGGCAACTGTCGCGCCGTGGGACACGCGAGCCAAGAACACCGGGACAGCGCGTTCCCAGCGCGCCGCCTGGGAGGGGACCGAGCACACACGGAAGGAGCCGGCACAGGACGGTGAGAGCGGGCAGCGCAGGGATGGCAGCAGAGGAGGGGGTCTCCAGAATGGCCCCCCTGCCCACTGATCATCATACCCTCCCTGGCTGGGAGCGAGCATTCCCAAGCTGGCTGCTGGTGCATCTTGCAACAAGGAAGAACTAGATGATGTATGGGATTTCACATGCCTTCTGCATCCTTTGGAAGAGCAAAGAGAAAATAAACATTGTGCCAGACTGTACCACAGCCCCCAGACGTATTGCAGGTGGTCCTGTGCTTGTCTGTCCCTTATCAAATACAAAGGTCCATCCCTACAAGTCATGAACTATTTTTGTACATGCATCCCAGCTCTGTGTCCATGGTGTCACTGCAAAAATGAATTTTTTGTAAAAAGAAATGTTCTTCCCTTCCACAAACTGCCAGTCCTCCCCAGGACTTGGTGGGTCCCACTGCCCCTCTGTGCCAATGCCCAAGGCAGTATCCCCACTCCTGACTGCCTGCCTCCCCTACCTGCTTTAGAGGCCCTGGGAACATCCTTGCCCCTGAAACTCACCTGCCTGGTAGCCCTTCCTTACACTGCCAGCCCAGCATTTCCCCTCACAGCAATGCTGATATTCACATCACCTTCATTTTATCCAGTTTCAGTGACTTTTGAAAGGGGGCTTGAGTACAACTGATTTTCAGTTGATCAGGGAGGGTGATAAAATTGATATGGCCAAGCAATGGGAAAAAAATTCCTCTGGATTCTGAGAGTGCAGCTATGATGAACATGGGGAATGGGGCTACGTAGTGCTTGGCAGGGTGTGTGCTGCAGAGGGGCCCAACCATTTTAATGCCCTGTATTCAAAGAAATGTTCTGCAGCCCTGTGCAGGTGACAGGACAGTGGGGAGTCACCTGCAGCCATTGCTGTCCCTGAGCCAGCATTGCAGCTATTGATTTGGAACTTGCCCCGTTCACTCTAACCTTGGCAATGCCAGCTTGACCCTAATCAGCCCTGATAAACCCTGCCACAACCTCCTGTCCCATCCTGGTGGTGTCACACTGTGAGGTGCTGTGGTGACAGATCTTTCCTGCCACTCTGCCCGTGCACCAATTGGTCTTTTGCTGCGATGCTCTAAATCCAGGAAACCTCTCTCCTATTTTTGCACAGAGGCTGCAGCCACACCAACATTTTTAACCCTGTGTTCGTGCCCATCCCTTGCTGAGTGTTTTGTGTGAGGAAGGATGCGGTGCCGGCTGCAAATGCTCTTCCAGAGGAAATTTAAAATCAGCTTTCTCTTTCTTCTGTTCTTGGCCCTTCTCGTGCACCTGGTGGTGGATTTTGCTCTCCCCACAACCCGCAGGTCCTGTGGCTGCAATACTAAAGCATCAGAAGCTGTGGGTGTCCCGTCAGGCAGCCCCATGCCGGGCAGCATCAAAAAGCTGAGCCTGCGAATCCTTCAGGATTTCAGTGGAAGCAACGGCTCCTTGGAGAAAAGTTCCCAGCCAGAGAGAGCGGGGCTGCACTTAAGGGCTGGAGAGCCAGGGGTCCAGCAGCAGCATGAAGAGGCGAATGCAGGGTGGACCAAGGGATCAAAGCTGGCAGCACTCTTCGAGCACCCTCTTTACAACATCCCAGTCCCAGAGGTGACAGAGAAAGACAAGCTGTTTATCGTCAACCCCATGGAGAAGTTCAGCCTGCGCAGCAGCGGGAGTGATGAATGGTGAGGAGCCAGCTCGACCCTAGCTTGCATTTGGGGGATGTGTGGATTAGAGGGAACAAGCAGCAGGGACCAAATGTAGCTCCCTTCTGTAGATCAGTATCCTTCCCCAGAGGGGCCCCCATTACTGAGCATGCTCTTCTCATATCTCAAATCCTCTCCTAGCCCTGAATTTTTGGGCTGCTACCCATAAGGTTGTAGCATACAGCAAAGTTAAAGGAGACTCTTGAATTATTCATTGCATTATGGATATCTATTAGGTGATCTCCTCAGCTCCTTCCCTTCCCCAATGCAGACTAGACCTTAGTATCTCTGTATATGACAAGTCCCCACTCCAGATTTCTAACCAGTTTTATCCCCCTCTCTCGGTATGTTGGAGATGCAAAGCTTGCAGTTTAGGCTGCCTCTAACCATGAGACCATTCCTGTCCTGCATTTTGCAGGATATTGCCTGACCTTGTTAGGCTTGCCCATATGGTGAGCTCACTGCTGACAGCTGTCTATTTTTATCTTTGGACTACTAACCTCTAATTAGAAGGGAAGATATTAGAAGCTTTAGCATTGTAACACATAGCAGCTTCCTTACAGAAAGCACACCTTCCAAAGTGGTGCCTGCTAGAACTGGGAGAAAATAAAAGCTGGCTTAAGAGCTGGTTTCCACAATTGGGTATTTGCCTTATCTCTGAGGACCACCTTGGGTCTGGTTTTATTAAATCAGTGCACAGTCTGTGTTTTCCTAGAGAGAGACGTGGATTTGGGTTACAGGTGCCTTGGGCTAACTGTCCCATTGCAGTGCCAGTGTGTGCTAGCACAGAGGTGGGGCAGATACCCCCAGGGGCTCCCTTGAATGCCAGCAAACTGCAAATTTGCAGGATGCACAGAGGCAGGGATAGTGCTAACCCAAACTTACCTCCCTGGGGAAACCCACCCAAGGGGAATAGGTTGTGGAGGATGGGAGTTCAGGTCAGTGCTGGGGATGGCTGGGAAGCCCATGCTTCTCACCCTTGTTCAGTGTACACACGTGTGTCCCCAGTAGGCACATGGAGGAGTGTAGCAGACTGTACTCCTGGGAGCCAATCCCTTAGGGAAAAACAGTGAGATAATCTGTTCCAGCAGGGAAATAAATGCATGGATGAGAGAAACAAGATCAACCCAGGGTTTTTCCATGGGGGATGGAGGGAAAACACTGTGTCCAACCAGCCATGCTGGTGGGTCTTCCTGGCCACCAGCTTTGGGTGGGATCTGCCAGGTGCCAAGAGCCCCATGGAGGCCGTATGGGGCAGGCAGTTCTGCCACCATGAAACCTGGAACCAATCCAGGGCTTGCTCTGGCCTTTCTCCCCACCTCACCCTCCATGCACTGGCTCCCAGGAAGGGCCCGGGGACACGGGACCCATCCTGTCCCAACTAAAAGCTGTCATTGTTGTTGGGGCGGTGGTGGCTCTCGGGCTGCAGGGTCAGCAGCAGTAAAGCCGAGACGCTCCTCCCGACAGGGAAGACAGCCTATGACACCTATCCCACCTGGCTCAAATTCCACATCGGCATCAACCGCTATGAGCTGTACCCCCGCCGGGACCCCTTGTTGCCCGTGCTCCTCCGGGACCTGGCCACGCAAAGGATCATCAGCTCAGGTACCACCTCCCTGCCTGTAGCCCTGCTCACCCTGCTACCTGCTGCCTGCCTCCCTGATCCCCATGTGCCTCCTTTCAGTCCAGAAGTCCGGCGGGACCCAGCTCAAGCTCATCATGACGTTCCCAAACTACGGGCAGGCCCTCTTCAAGCCCATGAAGTGAGTAGAGCCTGGGACAACCCTATACCTCACCCACACGGTCCTGTTAGGTAGCATGGAGTGGCCAGAGGGGACCATGCAGGGAAAAATGGAGCAATGCTTCATGTGCTGCCTCGCTCCAGCACCTCCATCCCAAAACTGAGAGGAGCAGAATGGTCCTGTTTCCCTTGCCTTCTCTGGTGGTGCTTGCTGCAAACTGGATGCAGCTTGTGATGGGGTAGTGACCTCCAGTGGTGGAAAGAAGAAGGTGGTCCATGAGGCCCATCCAGGAACCTCCAGTCCATGAGGGCTTCCCCACCCCTTGAGTTGGGAGCCTGGGTAGGGGGCTTGGAGCCACCCACCCGTCAGGAAGTGACTGGAGGAGATGGGTCTGGCTGTGTCTCCAGTGTCACAAGGGGACACAAGGTGAGTGGTGGTTTGGAACTAATCCCACGTTTGGAGTGACCCCATCCATGATGCTTGCCCCTACTGTCCCCTCTCGTTCCAGGCAGACCCGGGAGCAGGAGACCCCCATTGATTTCTTCTACTTCTCAGACTTTGAGCGGCACAATGCAGAGATTGCAGCCTTCCACCTGGACAGGTGAGCATAAGCTTTGCATCCAAGCTTGCCCTTGCCATACTGGCAAAGCACCAGAGAAACTCCTCCTTCATCCCACCTCTCGCTCCCTGTTGTGAGGATACCTGTGTCTCCTGTCAGTTTTAATAACTCACTGTTATTAAACCAGCTGAGGTCAGTAAGAAATCGTTCCAAGTTCTGTGTTTCAGGATCCTGGATTTCCGGCGAATCCCCCCCGTTTCTGGCCGTTTGGTCAACATAACAAAGGAAATTCGGGATATCACCACAGACAAGAAACTGGCCAAGACTTTCTTCATCTCCCCAGGTGAGCTTTCATGCTCTCCGTCCTCTCCTGTGGCGACCTGGATGGAGCTCACCTGGTGCTGGCTGCTGCTCCCTGGCTCCCCCCGCACTCAGACAAACTATCCCGCTGGGGGCTGTTCCAGCTCCCAAGGGTACCCTGCCACAGGCCTTTGCTCCTCACAGCCTCCCTTGCCATTGCTTTGCTGGTGGCACATGGCCAGAGTGCATGGAGCATCCTTCCCTGGCAGTTTGCTGGACCGCTCTGCCTGGGGGTGCCTTCCTTCTCTTTGTCAACCTTTGTTTTGTCACCTGGCCAGCGGGTAACGTCTGCTTCTACGGGGAGTGCTCCTACTACTGCTCCACCGAGCACGCCCTCTGCGGCAAACCGGACCAGCTGGAGGGCTCCATGGCTGCCCTGCTCCCTGACAAGACCCTGGCCAAGCGCCGCTCCTGGCGCAGCCCCTGGCGCCGCTCCTACCACAAGAGCAAGAAGGCTGAGTGAGACGGGGCATGGGGGGTGTGGGGACATGGGCCAGCAGAGCCATGGGATGGGAGGGGGCTTCTCCACAGCCGCCCTCATGGCCCCATTGCCCTCCCCGGCCTCTGCCACCAGGTGGGAGCTGAACCCCAACTACTGCGCTCAGGTGCGAGAGACGCCGCCCTACGACAGGGGCCATCGGCTCCTCGACCTCATCGACATGGCCATCCTCGACTTCCTCATGGGTGAGCCTCCCCGTGCCCGTGCTGAGGGCTGTGCAGGTCCCTAGGACCTGGAGGCCCAAATGGCTCCGTGGTACTATGCCCTGCGAGATTTGTTGGCCAGACTGTTGTTCAGGCTGCAGTGAGCCACAGTCTTACTCACAATGAGAGCACAGGGCTGTGCCACTAGGGCATTTCCCAGGCAGAAGTTGAAGGTCAAGAGATTCCAGGGAGATCCCAGCTCAATACCCTGGACATGGGGAACGCCTTCCAGCACGCTCTCACATGCAGTCCCTGCAGAGCCAGAGGTGGAGATGATGCTGCCCAGGGCTCTTGCTGCCTCTCCTGTCCCTGGGCCACTTCTTCCTCCCTGCACTGTCCCCTCACCGGCATCTGACTGGGAGAATTTCCCATCTCCTCATTCCTGACCACCCAGCCATGCCTTTGCCATTACTTCTGCTCCATTTGCCACTGTTGTCCCTCTGTGAGGCTGCTGGGATGAGAAGGGGAGGCCGTGGGGTCTGCTCAGTTCCCCTGCACGGCCATGGCCTCCAGATGGACAACTTAGAGGTGCCTCCAACCCTTTTCCCCAGGCTCTGGGTTTCAGTCTCACACCAGAAGAGTGCTCTGTGTCTTTGCTCCCACTTTCCAGCCCACAGCCTGATGCCAAATTTGTTGGCCCCACAGGCAACATGGACCGGCACCACTATGAGACCTTTGAGAAATTTGGGAATGACACTTTCCTGCTCCACCTGGACAACGGTCGCGGGTAAAGTTGGGGAGTAGGGGGGAGCAATCACAGCAAAGGGGTGGGGGGAGACCTCCAGTCATGCCAAAATGCCACCCTGACACATCCTTAAGGGCTTCTTCCCGCCCCCAGCTTCGGCACACACTCGCGCGATGAACCGTCCATCCTGGCCCCTCTCCAGCAATGCTGCAGGTGAGGGGCTGCCCCCACCCCGCATCTGCTGCTGGGGAGAGGCTCCTCCTACTGAGACCTCTCCCTCCTCATCCAGCATCAAGAAGTCGACTTACCTGCGGCTGCAGCTGCTGGCCACGCAGCCCTACCGCCTGAGTGACGTGCTGCGGGAGGCGCTGGCCGCAGATCCACTGGCCCCTGTGCTGGCTGAGCCCCACCTGCAGGCACTGGACCGGCGCCTGGGGAAGGTGCTGGTGGCGGTGGGACACTGCCTGGCCAGGGCAGCCCACCAGGAAAAGGTGCTGGTGGACGATGTGGGGTCGTGGGTGTGATGGGGGCTGGGTACCCTGCTGGATTGGGCTGTTGTGGCGTGCTGCTGAGGGTGATGTGGGGATCGATGTGCAGCTCTGATTCCGTGTAGCGTCAGCTTTTGGTGGTGCCCGAGCTGGTGGTGTGATGAACCAGGAAAGCAAGTTGTAAGGATAGGTGGGACAGGGAGGGAATTTAAATAAAAAGGTTGGCCTAGTGGAGAGGACCCAAGCTGTGATCTTCCCCACCAAGGCTGCTTTCCTAGCCCTGGCCTGTCCTTGCATGCCCGGACGTGTCACTTCAGCCCTCCAAAGCCTTTTAGGAAAGGGTAGGGATTTTTCCTGCCTTTCCCCAGCAAGAACTGCCAAACTGGAATAGCTGGCCCACCCCTTCTTCCCCACCCCCACCCCCAGCACAGTGATGCCCTGCTGACCCCCAAAAAGAGAGCTGAGACTCCCCACTGCTGGTGTGGGGAAAATGAGGCAGAGGCTCCCAGCTACACACCGCTTATCTTTGCCCCAATCTTCCCACACCCACTCAAAAACTCCCATGGCTCTGACATCACCACCTCCTCCACAGGACCAGGGATGCAGCAAGGACAAACCCCACTCCCTTGAGAACATCTTCCCAAATTCTCCAGGAACTGCCACTGACTCCCTTCACACCCAAAAAAGTGTCTCCTGAGGAGGGGCTGGATTGACCTGGGGCTGTGTACCCTGCTTAGTGCCTGGTGGCTCAGCACCCAGCTTATCCCCTGAGCCTCCCGGGGGGGTTAATCCACGCAGGGTTACGTCAGCTGGAGCAGGTGCCATTGTGACAGCCACTGCCAGCGTACCCAGGTTGGGACACGGGATTGCCGTCTGCACGGCCAGAGTTAAAGGTGCCACTGGGGAGGGGAGATGTCCTCTGTCCCAGCCAGACACTTGCAAAGGGATGGGAAGCCACGGGAAAGGGTGAAAAAGGGCAGCTGGCACAGTGGGAGATGGAGCTGGAAAAGCTAGGCAGAGATTTTGGCTGAAACAAAAAATGGGCTCAAAAGGCAGGAAAAAAAAAAAAAAAGAAAAGGGAGACAAAGAGGATCTGTCTGCGTTACACAACGGGGCTGGGGATGCTGAATCGGGGTTTGTTGTGGCGTGCCCCCCCAATGCTGACAGCACGTCCTCCTGCCACTGCCCTGGCTTGCGCCCCAAAGCCCAGCACACGGAGGAAGAGGTTTCACGGCTGTTTTGCAATAGGTTCCTTCCCTTCTGCCAGCCTCGTAGTTTTTTTGACTCTTTATATAAATACCTTTTTGCCCTATATGCAAAGCCAGGGGGACCATTCCTGCCCACAGAAACAGCCTAAACAATCGCATCCAGACACAGGTGGCCGGTTGCTCTGAGTCTCGGAGCTCCCCCAGGCAAATCTTTTTCCGAGGCGCCGTCAGATTTGAAACGCGAGGTGTGGGGGTGGTGGCTGTTTTTTTTCAGCCTGGTGAGTTTGCACAAGGTCCGTTCAAGGTCCCAGGGGAGCAGCCCGCTTTGGCTCACCCGGCGCTGAGGAGCCTGCCCAGCCGCCCGTGGGGCAGAGCGGTGGCCGCGGGTGCCGGTGCCAGCGGCCCGGGAGCAGCAGAACACGCCCGCCCGCTCCCGGCGCCGTGGGCACACGGGTGTCGATCCAGGGATCGGTTCGGCCGTGTCGCCGTGGCGTGGGGTGCGGGGATTTCTCACCCCAGCAGGACCAGCAAAACAGCCGCCCCAAAAAAAGCCCAAACGCGGGGCTGGGGTGCAGCCCTGCACCTGGGAGCTCCCATTTGGGGCTGGCATCACCCACGCCCTTGGCTGGCAGCGTGGGCTGGCTGCTGCCCGTGCTGGGCATGGCGGCCGAACCCCAGGGCTGAGGTGTTTGGGGACCGGTCCCGGTGGGCAGTGCGGATGGGCCCTCGTCGTCGGCCCCCCCCCCCAAATGATGAAAATAAAAGAAAACGAAATAAAAAGAATATGCTTGTGGCGGTGATAATAATAAATAGCAATAATTGTGATGATAAAGAAGAGGTCCCCAGAGGCCGGGGGAGCGGGGGCTGCCCCCCTCTGCCGACGGCGGCGGGGCGGGGCGGCGGCGTCCGGGGGGAGGGCGGGAGGCGGGTGCCGCCTTCCCCCGCAAAACAAAAGGGAGCGGCGGCGGCGAGAGCGGCCGGGCAGGACGGAGGGGATCGTTCCCCGCTGCGCGGCACTTGCTGGTGGGTTTGCGAGGGGGACGCCGGGGGCAAAGCCGGGGGCAAAGCCGGGGGCTTGCGGGCCGGCCGGCCGGCTCCGTACCGGGCCTGGGGGAGAATGTGTGGGGCCGGAGGGGCCGGGGGCAGCCGCTCCAGGCGCGGGCGGTCCGCGGAGGGAAAAGAGAAGGGTTCATCGGCCTGTACGGGGGGCGGCTCCATCCCGGGGCACCCCACGGCCGCCAGCTCGGGACGGGGCTCGGTGTGGGCCCGGACCCCTGCCACAGGGGCGGGGTCCCCGCCAGGGGGATCCCGCTGGGTGCGTCTCTGCAGGGATCCTGCCACTGACACTTCCCTCTCTCCCCCGCCCTCTCCCCACCCCCAGGTGAGCCCAGCTCCCCTCCGTGCTGCCGCCATGTCCCGCCGCAGCCAGCGCCTTGTCACCAGCCGCTATTACCCCGGGGACGATGATGCCACGACCAGCAGCAGCAGCACATCTCTGCTGGGCGGGACGCAGCTCCCCTTCAAGGAGACCACCGGCAGGTTAGCGGGGGCACCACTGGGGCTTCCCCCTGCCCAAATCTGACACGGGCGGGGCATTCCATCCCACACCAGGGAGCGGGCACCTTCCTGCGTGGGGTGTGGGGATAGCTTGCAGAAGGAGCACGAGGGTGAGCCCGGCGCGTTCCGGCATGGCCGCCTTGGCACCGGCTGTGCCCCTGCCGCAGCCGAAGCGCCGCGCTCCCAGCGCAGGCACCCCTGCGGCCCCGCGGGCCCGGCACAGGAGCCTGCCGTGGGTGGCCCGGTGCCAGCTCCCAGCTGCAGCTGGATGGCGACAGGGAGGAGGGAGGGAGGGAGGAGGGAGGGAGGTGCGCCGCGAGAGCCGGCCGGAAAACCGCAGCGGTGCGAGCGGAAGCGATGCCCGGGACGGGCGGGAGGCCTCTGCAAAGCAGCGGCTGCAGCCTCCGAAAGCTGCCGCCATCCGGTGTGCAGGGAAGTGATGCTGGCCGAGGGATTGGGGTGAATTCCCCATTTCCCCCCATGAGTGCACTGTGACCCCCCACCCTGTAACCACACGTGTCTGATGAGCCTGTTCTCGCCTCCCGCAGGACGATCCGGAGGAAATCGAGTAGCACAAAGCGCCTCTCTCCTGCCCCCAGCACCCAAACCTCCTACTATAGCGAGTCCATGATGAGCGAGTCCTACCTGGGGGGCAGCCGGGGCCTTGCTGCCCTGGGTAGCTCCATGCTGGATGATGACCTGGACAGCAGCACCTACTGGGGTGAGCTCTCCCACTCTCCTAGGGCAGCTGGGGACCTCCCTGGCTGCTGGAGAGTGTTGGGGCAACTGCCCAGGCTGGCTGACTGGGGTGCCTCTTGTGGAAGTGATGGTGGGTGATTTTTCAGTGGAACTCTGTGTTTTGGGGCAGGTGGAGAGCTCTCCACCAGGAGGAGAAGAGGCACAGGGGACACCGAGTCCAGTAAGATCAATGGGGTGCTAGAGAGCAAGACGTACGACACCTACACATCTTCATCTGGGTACTCCTCGGAGGACGACTACGCTGGTAGGGATGCACTGGTCTGTCTGTAGTGGCAGGAATGCAGGGGAAGCATCCCTGGGGGGACCAGCCCAGGGCCTGGCTGTACCCAGTGTGCTGCCAGTCCCCACTAAATGCCACCCCCAGTTCCTTTGCTGTGGGCAATGCACTGAAGTGCTGTCTGCATTGGTGACTCACTGCTTCCTTTCCAGGTCACTATTACTCAGGCCAGAGTAGCTCCGGGTCAGGTCTGAGAACTGCAGCCTCCCGGGTGGGCTCCTTCCTCTGGCAGGTGTTCACCTCCCCAGGTGAGTGGAGGCCTGGCACTTCTAGCAGCACCTCTGCTCTCCAGGTGGTGTGTGTGCTGTCCCCTGTTTGGGTGGAGGGGTTTTACCCCCTTGTGGTGCCACCCTTGGGCATGGAGGGGACATCTCTGTCAGGACCCCTCCTGAGGCTTGTTTTTTCTCCTGGCAGTTCAGTTCATGGGTTGGCTGTTCTCAGGGCTGGCAGGGGCCTGGCGCCGCCTCACCGGCACAGCTTCCCACCTGGACAATGTCCCTTTCTCCAGGTGAGTGTGCTGGGGGGGGACACCAGGGTGGGGGAGGCGTGGGGAAAACCTGCAGACCCTGGAAAGGGAAGGCTCATTTGGGATGGTGGGTGTCTTTGCTTTCCCTCTGGCCCCATCCAAAGGTGATGGAAGGTGGCTGCAGTCCTTCAGGCCCTCTCTCTTCTCCGTGCTCCAGGCGCTACCCACGTCTGAAGAGGTCCCTGCTGCTGCTGCTGCTCCTGCTGCTCCTCGCTGCTGCCGCCTACGGTGAGCCACCTCCCTTGATGTGCCGCCCTGAGATCTGGGGCAGTGCAGAGCATCCCACTGCCGTAGCTGGGGGCTGGGCTGGCCTGGAGCTCAGAGCTCATGGCTTCTGGTAACCTGCTCCATCAGCATCCTTGTGCCAGTGTCTCCTGGTAATCCCTGGAGATGCTGATGGCTGAGCTTCTGCAAGTCCACCCTGTCCACTACTGTGGCCATTACCAGCCTGTGGTTTTGACCATCTCCTCCTTCTGTGTTCAGGAGCTTGGTACTTCTACCCGTATGGGCTGTCGACACTCAGCCTGCCTTCCTTCCCGTGGTGGGGAGCTGGAAAGCTTTCCTCCTCCTCTGACGTTCCTGGGGCCGGGGACCTGACCACGCTGGACCAGGTAAGCTTCAGCAAAAGCATGATGGTGGCCCAGGTGGGATGAGTGCCTTGCAGGGAGAGCTGGGATGGTGTGATCTGTGGCTGAACAATTGCTTCCAGGGTGTGAGGAATGGTGGAGGACAGGGCAGATGATGGCTCCACACTGGCTCCCCCAGCTTGTGGCCATCTCACTCTTGGGGTGTCCCTGGGATGGAGCAGGGGGAACATCTGCCTTCTCCTGGGAAGCAGCAGATGAATAAGATGCTACTGATCCTGGGGAATGGGTGGTCAGGGTCCCCTTTCACAGGGGTCCTGTGGAGCAGACACTTCCCTGGGGGGCTGCATCACACCCTGTTTTTGTCACTGCAGGGGGGACACCGACTCCTGGCTCGCTTCCAGTCCCTGGAGAAGCGCTTTGAGGCACTGGAGGCCGAGCTGTCGCGGTGGGAGCTGCGTCGGGGGGCGGCAGCAGTGACAGCAGGGGGAGAACCACCCCCGGGGGACATCCTTGCGCTGCTGGAGGGGCTGGTGAGCCGCCGGGACGCGGGGCTGAAGGAGCATCTCCGCACCGACATGGCCAACCACCTCCAGGTGAGTGACACGGGCAGTGCAGGAAGGTGGGCGTGGGCAGGGCCAGGCTCTGATATTCCACCCTGTTCCTCATCCTGCAGGGTGAGCTGGATGTGCTCCGAGCCCAGGTGCAGAGGGATTTAGACGGGCGCCTGGGCAAGATGGCAAAAGCTTCCCAGGTAAGTGGCGAGGGTGTGGTGGGACCTGGACAGGACACCCTCAGCAGTGGTGCCACGGGTCTCACCCCTTCCCCTTTTCCTGGCAGGAGATGGAAGCGCGCTTGCTGGAGCTGAACTCGGAGTGGCAGAGGTAACACTGGCTGTGGGGCAGGGCCATTGCTCTGTCAGGGGCAGGCAGGTAGCTGGGTGAATTCCCTCAGCCAGGCTTAGGAGGGATTTGCAGGCCTGGCTGGGGACAAAGGAGAGATCAAGAGGCATAGTCTGGGGGGGAAAGGAAGGAAGGATACATATGTGGGTGCCTGTGGGAGCCACCACTGTGCCCTTCTGGCCAAAATGGCCAGTGGTGTCCTAGGGTGGCATTAGGAAGGGCATTGTCAGTAGGTTGAGGGACGTGATCTTGTCCCTCTACCCAGCCCTAGTGAGGCCACCTCTGGTGTGCTGTGTCCAATTCTGGGCTCCTCAGCAGTACAAGGGAGCCATGGAGCTCCTGGGGTGGGTCCAGCAGGGGGCTGTGGAGGTGATGAAGGGACTGGGGAATCTCTCTTATGAAGGGCTGAAGGAGCTGGGCCTGTTCAGCCTTGAAAAGAGACAACTGAGAGGGAACCTCATCAGTGACAGTGGCTGAAGGGAAGTGGCAAGAGGTTGGATCCAGGCTCTTCTCAGTGGTGCCAAGCAATAGGATGAGAGGCAATGGGCTGAAACTGATGCACAGGAAGTTCCACCTGAAATTGAGGAAGAACTTCTTTACTGTGCAGTGACCACACACTGGAGCAGATTACCCAGAGAGGTTGTGGAGTCTCCCTCACTGGAGATATTCCAGAACTGTCCGGATGAAGTCCTGTGCCATGTGCTCTGGGATGATCCTGCTAGAGCAGGGAGGTTGGACCAAATGACCCACTGTGGTCTGTTCCAACCTGACCTGTTCTGTGGCTGGTAGCAGGGCTCCAAGAGCAATGGCAGGAAATCACCTTTGCACTGTCCTGCATCACTGTGAATGTGGTCCTTCAGCCGAGGGGTGAGCTGAGGATGCTTTCCCATGGGATGCAGTAGAAGAGGTCACTGCCACTGGAATTAAAACTGGGTCTGGAGATGGGGTTGAGCATAGGTGATGTGGGATGAACCTCTTCCTCCAGTTTGCAGAGGGGAACTGGGCCTATTGGCACGAGATTGTTGCTGTGTTTGCGGGTTCCAGGACGAGGGAAGAGATGAATCTGACTCCATATTTCTTAGAAGGCTGATTTATTATATTACAAAGTGCTATACTAAAGCTATACTAAACTATAGAGAGAATACATCAGAAGGCTAGGAAAGAAATGAGTGATAAAGACCAGAGTCCTGACACAGCTGGACTGGGATTAGTCATTAAGTAAAAACAGTTCACATGGAAGCAATCAAAAATGCCCCTGCCACATTCCAAAGCATCAGATAATTATTGTTTACATTTCTTTTCTGAGGCTTCTCAGCTTCTCAGGAGAAGAAATCCCGTCAAAGGGATTTTTCATAACAATATCACAGTGACACAAGGTTTTGTTACCTTTCTTTCGCACAGCTCGGTACAGGAGAGCCTGCGAGGGACCTTCCAGCAGGAGGTGGGCAAGCTGGAGCAGGAGGTGGCAGTGCTGAGGAGGGAGCTGGCAAGCCTCAAGTCAGACCAGGAGGTGATGGGGAAGCACGTGAAGGGGATACTGGAGCAGCTGAAGACAGTGAGGGCTGATGTGAGTCCCTGGTCCCCAGCCTGTTTGGCAGAAGGGCAAGTAAGGGTCCCTGCTCCGGGGCTGAGCTCTGTCTGCACCATTCCAGGTGGAAGCACAGTTCCCAGTGTGGATCAACAGGTTCCTGTCACAGTCCCAGCAGGATGGTGCTGCTGCCTTCATCCTCCAGCGGGAAGACTTGCAAGCAGAGCTCCAGGCTCTGGAGCGCAAGATCCTTGCAAAAGTCCTGGAGGACCGGAGACTGTCAGCACGGGATGCTCAGGCTGGTATTGGAGTGGCCCTGCGGCAAGGAGGGGCTGCAGGAGTGACAGAGGAGGTGAGTACTGGCCTGAGCCCCAGGGACATGAGGTGACCACAGGGTTGGGGACTGTGCCCCGCTTCGTGTGTGCAGGGGGCTGGCATGTGTGCCTGGCAGATGGCAGAGGCATTGGGACAGCCCCACAGCTGGGATAGATCCTGGGCACAGAGGATGCAACTTGAAACTCCTTCTCTGTCACTCCCTTCTCAGTTTGTGCTTGCTCTGTGCTCTGGAAGGGGTCACAGGTGCTACTACCTGCAGCCCTGTAAGGCTCTTACTTGTCCCTGTTGTATTGAGGACGGGTGAATAAAGCAACACGACTCCTCAGACTTCTCAGAAGGCAAAAGCCGAGTTTTTAGAAACCACAAGTTCCTTTTATAGACAGTTATGATAAAGGTGGACCTGGTTGGTCCTTAATCAATATCCCTCACACCCCTGAGTAATTAGGAACAACACCCTTCTTGTAAAGCTCTTACAATTAACAAGTTCAAAACATCAGCTGCAGGATTGTTTTAATTCTTTCTCTGAACTTTCTCAAAACTTCCCAGAGGAATGTCTGGCAAAGTTTATCTGATTTCTTCTCTGACCGGTTCTCAGCATTCACACGTACTGTCTTAAAATCCAAGCTTCTGCTCGTGCATCCTTCACCCAGAACGTGGGAGAGGTGCCATCAAGGCTTCCGTGGGTGGAGCATCTTGCTTATCCCCATTCTTCCGCAGTGCTGCGGAGTTGTTTGGTGCAAAGCATTTCAGCAGAATGACACCAAGGGGAAAAAATGAGCCTGCTTGCTTTGGAAAGAGTTGCTGGCAATTCCCTGTGGAGGGAGGGATCAAGCTGGGATTAGCAGTCCCTATAGTCTGTGTGAGCTTTATGCACTCCATAAAGTTTAGACCCAAAGTGGTGCTGCAGGGTCCTAGCTCCTGAGGCTGGCTTTGGCTCCAGATGGATGCTCCAGCCATCTCCTCCTTTTCTGGAGAGGGAGAGCTCCCATCAGTCCTGTGGGACAGGGCAGGAGGGACGAGCAGATGATTCTGGGTGGTCTGTCGAGTTGTGTCTGGTGCCACCTCTCCTCCCTCTGTGCCAGCCCCTCCTGGGGACAGGCAAGTGCAGCATGCCTGGGTGCTGCCCCTTCAATGCACAGCTCCTCTCCCCTGGGGTATTTTTAGCAACCTCTAATGAGGTTTCCCAGCCAAATGCGTGTCCTCTTATTTTTGCCACGGTGATTCATCCCCTGGCTGTTCTATCCCGTGGCTGTTTTGTGGGAAGGTCCTTGCACCCTCTGTCCCTGCAGGGGCAGGCAGGTGGGGGGCAGAATGCCTGGCCCAGTTTGTCACCCTCCTGTGCCCTCTGCTCCCTCTGCAGCAAGTGCATCTCATCGTGGGCCAGGCCCTGAAGCGCTACAGCGAGGACCGTGTGGGGATGGTTGACTATGCCCTGGAGTCAGCAGGTAGGTGGTCAGGACGAGCCAGCTGTCCTGGGGAGGTGACCACAGGGGCTGGCTGCAGCTCACCTGCTGCCATCCCCTCCTGCCAGGGGCCAGCGTCATCAACACTCGCTGCTCAGAGACCTACGAGACGCGGACGGCGCTGCTGAGCTTGTTCGGCATCCCCCTGTGGTACCACTCGCAGTCCCCCCGTGCCATCCTGCAGGTGGGCGCCGGGTGGGAGGGCTGGGCTGGTCCTCATGGGGCTTTTTTTGGGCTTTGCCTGTTGCTCCAAGCCAGCAGCCAGGCTGGTGGGAGGAAAAATTACTCTGATGGTGGTAACATTGCTGTCTTTCACTTCCATGCTCGTAGCCAGATGTCAACCCTGGGAACTGCTGGGCATTTCGTGGCTCCCAGGGCTTTGCTGTCATCCGCCTCTCTGGCATTATCCGCCCCACGGCCGTGACGCTGGAGCACATCCCAAAAGCCCTCTCACCGCAGGGGACCATCCCCAGTGCCCCCAGGGACTTTGCTGTCTATGTGAGTGCCCTCACCCAGACCTGAGGGGAGTGGGGAGCACGGAGGGAGGGCACTGGAAGGGATGGCTAACAAACCCCATACCTGGCTGTGGGGTGCTCTGGGGGGGTGATCTTACCCTGAAGAAGGTGAAGAAGCAATACTGGTGGGGAGAGGGGCAGCACCGGGTGTCAGAAAGAGTTTGTGGGAGACACAGGGACAAAGGGGCTTGAGTAGGTGTAACTTTTGGTCTTCTCCCCCTTCATCCTTCCTCACTGGTCCCTGTTCCCATTTGTCTATTTTGACCTGGAAGAGCAGGAGCGGGGGCCGAGCACACTTGCGTCTCCCTCTCCCTCTTCTGCCCTGGATGTGTGCATCACCTCTGGTCTCCCTCTCTGGTGACCCCTGATTCTCCCTTTCTGCCTCCCTACCCGTCCATAGGGCTTAAAGGAAGAAGGAGAGGAGGAGGGCCTTCTCCTTGGACAGTTCACCTACAACCATGATGGTGACCCCATCCAAACATTTTACTTGGAGGTAAATGCTTTGCCCCTGGAGCACCTGACCCCTGAGAAGAAAATGGGGCCTCTGGGGTTTCTGAGCCGTAGAGAGCCCTCAAGGTCTCGGGTTTTTCTTTTCCTTCCTCCCCCAAGGGTGACTCCATGGGCACATACCAGCTGGTGGAGCTCCGGGTGCTGAGCAACTGGGGCCACCCCGAATACACCTGCATCTACCGCTTCCGTGTGCACGGGGAGCCGGCGCACTGACCCCCGGCCCCGCGAGGATGCTGCCGGCGGGAGGGGACGCGTCTGGTTCACTGCTTCGCACCTACAAATCCTGGCACGTGCCAGCAGCCGCCCCTGGAAGCTGCTCCCCTGGGGGGAGGAGAAGAGCTGGTGTTGAAGGGGTGAGGCTTTCACTCTTCCAAGGACTGGGGTGGTGAGGCGAGAGCATCCCACGTGGGTCCTAGCGCAGCCTGGCTTGTTTTCAGTGCGTATGGGACATTTTAACTTTTTAAGCTAACTTTGTATCGGGTTTGCGCTGCCCCTCTTCCCTGTTGTCCCACTCCTTTCTAGCATGGCCAGGGCTTGGGGAAGGGGTGTGTCATTTTGTGATGTGCTTCATGCGGGCTTGGGTGCAGGAGATCGGCGTGTGGGACCACGGTGCCTGACTCGGTGCTGCCGGAGTAGCTGGGAGCCACTGGTCGTGGCCACCAAGTCCCCTCCACACAGGGTCACTTCTCTTGCCTTGGTGTTGGTTTGGGTAAAGATCTCCAGCCGTCCAACGCTGGGCCGGCAGAGAGGAAATAAGACAGTATTAATGAAGTATTAACATAAAACTAACGGTTTGAGGCAGCAGGAGAAGAGGAGCGTGGCACATGTTGGTGGCAGAGCCCACCTTGGTGCTGCCATCCATCCACTCAAGCCCTCCTGCTGACAGGAGCTGAGTTGGGTCACACCAATGCTGTTGGCCTCCCTGGCTGGCTGCCTCCCCAGTGTTAAGCTTGATGATGCTATTGAAAATTCCTGTTGCCTGCTTTTCCTTTGGGGTTTGTTCTGATATTTTTTTTTAAAGAGGGGTGGGGAGGGGAGCTATTTTCCAGTTGGGGTTGGTTTTTTTTGTGTGTGGGGGGGTTTGTAGTAACAAAGGGAAAAAATACTTTTTCCATGCAATTTGTACTTAACCAGAGAATGTTACACGGTGCCACTTGGATGAGTGGCTTAGAGAGGGCTAGAGCTTTGTTTAGTAGAATAGCATACACAGTAGGATAAGCTAGAATAAGATGAGCAGAGCTGTTTAAAATACAGGCCTCACGTTGTTGGTGGCTTGGTAGCTAGACTTGGAAGCTAGACTTGGTAGCTTGGGTCCTCTGTGCACTGCTGCTGGTGGGGTGCTGGAGGCATTCCTGCCCTCCTTGCTCTGGATGTGCTCTGAGACTGCAATGCGTGGCTGTGGCCTCTGGCCCGAGCTGCATCTGTGTATACTTGACTGTTAGCAGCAAGTGGAGCTGCTGTCCCCGCTCTGCAGGGCGCCGGGGGGCTGGCAGGTGCCAGCATGCAGAGCCACCCCGCCTGCAGGGCTCCCTCAGCTCTCGGGTCCTCGATGGCAGATGGCTGGTGCAGGCTGACCTCCTTTCTCTTGGAAGGGCTCCCTTTTCCTCCTACCTCTCCTTACTGGCATTGCACTGTTCTCTGAGCCCTGGCTGTGGGAGGACTGGGCTGGAGCAGGAGGGGGAGTTCTGCCTGCAGTGGGCATGTACATCTTGCCTGTACTGCTGGGATGGGTGGAGGCACAGCAGGGGTTTGCAGGAAGGATGCACAGGGACCTTCCCCCGGCTGAGGGGTGCTAGGGCCATGTGGCCCTTCCACCTCCTGGCTGCCTGCGTCACACAGCTTGGCTTATGGTATTGGATGGTGTTACCAGCCTCCAGGTTTGTGGTGTGTTTCATTGAAAGAAAAGCTTAAGGGCTCATGGGTCAGTGTTTCAGCCCTGTCCAATGCTGTCATCCTGCAGCCCTGTCCATCCTTTCCCTGACACCATGAGAGCACCATGTATTGATTCCCACTCTGCTGGTCTCTGCTTGAAGCACTGTAGGCACAGAGGAGGACGAGGGGCTGAAGAAGTGTCTCCTTTCAGCATCCCCTGCTGGGCATCAGGCAGAGCCGAGCTCAGAGGGCACAGTCCTGTGTCCAGGTTAAAATTACCCTGTGGAGCCTCTTGCAGAGCTGGGAGGCCCTGCTGCAGGGAGAAAGCTGACCTGGAGCCAGAGCCAGGGACTATAAATTCTCTCCTATATTGAGCGTAGTCTTAATTCTTGGCATCCACAGCCAAAGTTATTTTAAACTTGTCTACAGCTGCCCGTTTGCCTTGGAGTCCTGTCCATGAGTGCACTGAGCACATGGAGCTGTGCTTTTATGAATGCCTAGACCTGTTCTGGGCTTGGCAGACCAGCTCCTGTATTTATTTGAATCATAAAGAGAAAGCAGAGATGAAGCTCTCCCTTTTTCTCACCTTTCTCTGGTTCCTGGAGCAAGAGCTATAACCATGAGCCTGGGAAAACCCCTTTCCTTACGTTCCTTCTGGCTCCCTGCTTTCTGGCTTGGACTGTAAGAACAGACAAGGTCTTTGCCCAAGAAAGAAATGGTTTTGTGGTAAATCAGGCATGCTGGTGAGAGGCAGGAAAGGTGACCTCTTCCCCTGAAAATGGAGTTGTAGTGGGATCTCTGCTCCTTCCTCATGGGTGTTAACTGCTGTGTCTGGGTTAGGGAGCATTTGGCTTTACAGTGGAAGCTTTCCCTGTCCTTTGGACATGAAAATCTTTGCTGCTTGAAGTAAAACTCCCTGGAGCCACCAGTGAGAGCTCATCCTGGGGCTTCATGCTCTTTTCTCGCTGGCTTTAGAGGCCTCACCATGCCATCTGTGTGAGGATTCCCAGGAACATATGCTGAGGCTACGTGTGGGTTTTCAGCCCCCAAATTCAGCATCAGTGCTGGGCTGCAGCCCGAGCCCCTGTGCCAAGTGCCAGAAGCCGCTGGCTCTCGAGATTGTAGCCTGCAGCAATTCTGCAGCGCTTCCCAGAGCTGCCAAAGAAGAGGGCACAGAAAACTGCTGCTTCAGCATGTGCTTCTCTGCCCAGGGGTATTTAATCCTAGAGCTGATGCCGAAGATGAGCCTGGTGAGGCAGGAGAAATGCAGAACAGCTGTGGGAGCAGATTTCTCTTATTTACTCCATTTCCCTCCTCTATTCTCCCTCCTTCTCAGTTTGCCCTACACACGTGTTACGAATTAGCCCTGCAGAAACAGATGGTTACAGACAGGAGTTTGTGTTTGATGCTGTAGCCTGTTGCAAATGCTGCACTGTTTTGTTCCTTTTGTTTTTTAATCAACAGATTGTAATTTATGCCTATGCAAGAGAAAAAAAAAAAGACCAAGACATAAATTATATCAAAACTGCCCAGAGTGGTTTGGATGTTTTGTAACTGAATTTGCTGTTGGGAATCATGCACAGCTAGTAGATAGACAAAGCTATTCTTGGAGCTCTTCTTCTATGTAGTTTTATGGCAAATCCTTATTTTCCAGCCTGATGTACTAACTCTAGGGCCAGTTAACAAAGTTATCACCTTGTCGTTGGGCAGGCTTGAGGATGCAAAAACTGCTTGAAACAATGCTGAGAACAAGACTTACTCCTAAAACCTCTAATTCCTTGGGACTAAAAACTTCTACTAGATTTAAGTCTGATATCATGGCTGTCCTCCTTCTGCAGTCACCTCCCACGCCTTCCCATCCTCTGCCTTACCATGAGCAGAGCCCAGCTTGGCCCCAAGAGCAGCAAGGGAGGCTGGGTTAGCGGGGGCAAAGCCTGACACAAAGCCCAGTGCAGGGGATCTGCTTGCTCCTCTTTTCCTTCACATAGGCTGTTAACTACTCATCAGCTACAAAGCTAGCAGAAAGGAGATACTTAATTTTCCTTAGCGTGAGGAAGTTAATACATTAAAAAAAGGCTGAAAATGGGAAACTGAACTGGCTTGAGGAGAGTCACAACTTTGTCTGCTTAACCTGGGCTTGGAGGAAGGCTTCTGTTGAGGAATAGCCATGCAGCTCCTCCCGGAAGACCACGCTAGGGCCAGGCTTGCTCTCTGCTGGCCCTGGACCATCCCTCTCCAGGAGGAGAAGGGCTGTGTGGGCCTCAACTCCAGCTACCACAGCCCAACACTTACCTATGAAAGGGCTGTGCAGAGCAGAAAAAGCCTTTGTGAACCTCTGAGATCAACTGAGGAGACAGAAAAAGGCTCCTTGCAAACCCTGGAGAGTCCCACTGTATTTGCAGAAACAGGTGAGGTGCATGTCCCAGGAAGCACAGCAGGCAGGCACTGCAAGTGCTGTGCTAATGCTGCATCCTCTAGCAGAGTTTCTCTCGTGGGGCCGGCCCCAAGTGTTTTGCTAGGGCTGCTCTACACCCACTCACATCGCACACAGCTCGCACCACGCCCGTGTTCTCATTTTACCACTCTGCCACCGAGGTGCACTTCATTTTGGCCAGAGTAAAAGCTGTCAGGGCTGTGCAGAGGCTCAGCAGCAGCTCTCCTGTGCTGCCATGCCCTGTCCTGCTGTCACTATGAGCACAGCCCCCTCTTGTAGCCAGCAAAGGAGCCTGGTGCCAGGCAAACCTGCTTCCTCTGGCTTTCAGCCTGGTTTTCCAGAAGGACAAAAATCAAGAAGACACACTTTTACTTGGAACAAACTTTTTTAAAATTTATTTTATAGATCACACCAGCCTGAGTGATCTGTAAATGCTGGTCACAAAAGAGAGATCACACCACCTCCTTTGCACAAATTGAAGTGAACCTTCTTTCAGTCTCGGCAGTCTCCTTCATTTGGAGCACAAGGAATGGAGAAAGAGAAAACCGCCTGGAGCTCCCTGCTCCCCTCAGAAGCAGAGGGCAGTGAAATCAGATGCAGTTTGATGCTGCTACAGGGCCAGAAGACAAACAAGCCAAGCCCTCGTGCCCTGCTTAGCCACACCTCACACCCCCTCACAATGCGGGTGCTATTAGTGTTGTAGCCGCCTATAGTTCCTCCCTGGCCAGGAGAGTGCTGGTATTTAGGCACAAAGCTTGGAAAAGGACCGTCTGACCTCCCCCTTCCACCCACTGCAGTCTCTAAGGCAAAGAGCCCTGGTCTCCAAACCACGTTTCTTGCCTCTCCCGTGCCACTTAATGCTCTTGGAGTGCTGGTGTTGGCAGCGGGAGATGCGCTTTGCCTCTCAGCCGGCCTGGAGACCTACCCCGAGTCACAAGGTGAGCTGGAATGAACTCCACACAGGTGACACAGAGTGAGGAACAGGAACAACCCGCTAAGGAGGGACAGAAACTTTGCAGTCTCTCTCTGATTAAAATAAAAGTCCTTCATTGGAGGAAGAAGCCCTCAGAGAAACCGAGCCTGACCGTGCCTGCTGGGGGGAGCCATGATTTGCTGAGGATGCCACCTCCTCCTCAAAATGCCACCATGCTCCCAGAGCTCACCACAAGCTGGCAGAGGATAATTCCTGTCCTCACCGGAGCCAAGGGAAGAGGCAGGGTTAGAAGAAAAGAGATCAAAATAAGCAGGGTATCAATCACTTTAAAAACTCATTAAATGGTTAAAAAACCCATTCTAACAGTAATTTGTAAACTGTCCTTGCAGGGCCTTCTTGGAGAAGCCACAATTTCTCATTAAGAAAAATAAAATCTTAAAAAAAAAAATCAGTTTAAGTCAGAAAAATTACCATGTACTTCCAACCTTGAAAGCACACCTGTAAATTTGGTACCAATTTGTCACTGCCCTCTTTGGCCAAGAGGGGAGAAGACAAATCCTGCTTCTGCCATGGCAAAGTTTGGCCAGTGAGTTCCAAAAAGGTTTTGGAAATCTTGGAGTAAACAAAATCAAGGGGAGGTCATGTTAGCTTGGTGTCTCTGTTCCAAAGGTATCTTACCACCTGTGACCTCTGTCCGTCGAGGTGAGAAGGCTTTCTCTGGCTCAAGGGACGGACTGAGTGCTCCTGCACTGTTCTTAATACTGTCAGTGGAGCTGCTGCAGCCTTGGGAGGCACCTTAGATTTGCTCCAATGTGCACTGAACAAACACTGGGAAAAGCAGCACGATGGGAAGGGGAATTGGGTGGGTAAATGTCTGCCCATTTAACTCTGTCGCCAGTTAAAATTTTAAGTGCTTTCAACATTATTTGAGGATATTGAGCATAGGATCCCTGAACTTAACATCTACAACTGCTTTCCAATTTGTTTCCCTCTTAGATCTCCAACTAAGGAACTTTCTCACCATCTCCTTCAAACTTCAGTCATTACAACATTAAATTAAATCCACTTAGAAATAGTTTAAGAGGGAGGGAATCCAAAACATATTTGGCACAAGGCCACAGTGGTGATGAAACGATGCTCCATGGAGCCATCCTAAACAACCTGTTTTAACCTTTGCAAGTCTGAAATTTCAGGCATCTGATAACCCCTGGATCTGAGACAGCAAATAGGGGAGAGCAGCAAGTCCTGTGGACAGAAAGGGGTGAGGGAGGAGGGAGGCAACTAACTGGCTCTTTGCAGCTCTATCCAGACTCCTCTCATCTTCATGCACACAAAATATAATAAAAACTAATAAGAATAAAAACTAAGCCCATGATGTACAAAAATGTGTCGACAGGGGGAGGAGGAAGGTGTCAGTTACTCAGTTCTCTGTCTTATCACCTTCATTAGCTTATAAATTATGCTCCTCTCCATCGCTTTCTGCAGGGAGGAGGGACGATTCTTCTGCAGCCAATCAGCTGGGATGGGTTTTGGTTTACGCTGCTCTGGATCTTTTGGATAAGAAATGAAGGGATGGGGAGGAATTCTTCAGAGAGAGGAGGAATAAGAAATTCAGCAGCCACTGGCAGGAGTCACACAGGCTCCCTGAGATTTCACTTTATGGCGCTGACCCCCACGTCGACGGCCTCCTCCTCCGACTTTTGACTGAAAAACAAGACTGACTTTAGTACAAAGCAGCCCCTCAGCTGGGATATCAACACAGCAGGAATTCAGATGGATCACACACACATTCAGACAGCAGCAGGGCAGTTGTGACTGATCAGCTTTCTACCACTGCAGGAAGGAGATAAGGCAGGAGGGAGACAGACACACCATGAGGGAAGGAGGAGAGACAGATGCACCAGGAAGTTTTGCCCTTCAAGCTGGGAAGACTTTGATTTCCCAAGTTTCTAAATGCTTCACTCCCATGAGAGCCAGCAAGTGCCATGGGGCTCAGCATACAGGAAATCCAAGCCTCAGGTTCCCTTGACTTTGTATTTTTGGATTGAAGGAGAACCTCCCACTTCCCACCACGGCTCTCAGGCTCACCTGACTTTTCCCAACCTCAGCAAACCCACTGTTTCTCTTTGAGAGCAGCCAAATACCTTATTGCCCTCACGGATGTGGGGCTCTTCATCCAGTGCAGGCTGAGGGGACGCAGCAAGGAGAGAGAGGAAGACGTAAGCAAGAACAAAAGCAACCCCAGAGCCTCAGGGGGAGGGATGAAACAAAGAGCAAGCTGGGACCACTACTTACAACCACACTGACGCTACAAAAAGACAAGGACGATATGGAGGACTGGTGTGAAGCCCCAGGCACATGCAGAGGCAGAGAACCCCTGCGAGAGGGCCTCGTTTGATGAGCAGTCTGGCTCAAAAGGGTGAGATTTGACCATGGCAACTAATGTAGCTAGCATTAAGAAGGGGAACACCTTGTCACTTGACAGAGTTAGTTCCTGAACCCTTCACTTCCTGAGGAGGTACCCTACAAAGAGAAGACCTTTCTTCTATCAGTAATAAAACTGATCAGTTGGTCTCCAGTGAGAATTGAGTTTCCATTCCTTTCAGGCCAGAAAGACCAGGCATCCTCCATGGACAAGCTGAACTGAGAAGTCCTAACCAACAAAACAACCTGGATAAATTTCCCTAAAGAGAAATTTAAAGCCTTTCCTTCTCCTTGGATGTCCCCATCTTTACTTTTCAACAGGGTAGATGACCTGAGCCTAATACTCAAGTTGTAATTTCTCTAGGGTAGCGATATTCTACCTTTCATTCAGACACTGAAGACTTGTCCTGTGACTGGTTGTTATATGTTTCACTAGTTCATCTGTTGGGTATATAGAGACACTTCTTCACTGTGCACATGGTCAAAGCAGTGAAACAGGTTGCCAAGGGAGGTTGTGCAGTCTTCCTCCTTGAGAGGTTTTTAAGACATGACTGGATAAAACCCTGAGCAACCTGGTCTGACCTCACAGCTAATCCTATTTAGAGCAGAAGGTTAGACTAGACACTTCCTGAGGTCCAACTTGAATTGTTCCAGTACCCTGAGCTGCTGTCTGCTCGAAGGTCAGCCATGGAGTCATCCAGTCATCAGAGAATTATGATTCCTGATGCAAGACTACTTATATTTCGATTTGTTTCTGTGGCAAGGTGCGTTCAAGGTATGAGGGGATAATACTTGTGCTTTAGAGTGCCCTTCCTCCAACAGGTGAAACCATGACACAAACAGCTAGGACAGACATGGTATTTTCCTCACTTACCAATGGTTGCAGGGCAGTAGGTGTCAGTGGTGCTGCAGCTGTTGAGGGGGCCTCATCCCCAGCTGCTGGGCCTCCAGCTGCCGCCCCAGCGGCAGGAACACCATCCTCTCGTTTCGTAACAGCTCCCTTCTTCGTTGACTGCATCTTGATCTGCTGTGGCTTGGAGTTCATTGGTGAGTTATTGGTGGTCTGGAGCAGCTGCAAATTGCAAAGGGAGAGGCCAAACTCAGCATTAAAATAGCCAGGATGATCTGGCGAGGTTTAATGCTGCTTTTTAACAAAAAGCCTCAGGAGAATTTGTAAAAATAACCATAAGGAGAAGAATGCAGCAGCAGCAGCTGTTCAAAGAAACCTAGACCTCTGATCTTCCAGCCTTGGAAAGGGCCACTTGGCTGAGGTGACACTCTAAACTCCACAACATGACTCAAACGGAGCAGCTACAAGATGTCAGAAAGAGACCGAGCCTTAAGAACCAGCAGCATATGGCTCAGCCCCTCCCTTTACATTCCCTCATTCACACCAGCTAAAGACCCACCACACGACAAAGCACATCAGTCATCCTCGACCCATGTCAGGCCTGATGCATATGGTTGAAGCACAGCCTCTTCCCTCCATCTTCCAAAGCTATCTTGATTCTCCTGCTGGCTTCTCAGTGCAAGAAGTAGCTAATGGGCAAAAGCAAGTGGGACTCGGCAGCCTTTACCTTAGTGATGGTACCCACAGCTTTGGTGCGGCCTTCCCGGAAGACCAGCCGCTGGTCTATGTGTAAATATTCCGGGGTTTTGATGAAGCGGAAGTGCACCGTGGCTTTGTCCCCTGTCCGCAGGCAGTCCTTGTCCATGCTGAGAATCGTGGCTGTCTGACGGATGCTGCCACAATGCACTGTGAATGTAAAGCACAGAGGCTTTCAGCAGCCAGGCCCATTAGTGGAACGAGCTTCAGCGACACATCTAGGCAGCTCCTCACCCTACAGCAAGGGTCGTACGGGTCACGCAGCTGCCTTTGTTCCATCCCAAAAAGAACATGCACATAAGCTAGAACAGATGCCTTCAAATCCTGCCTGTCCTGAAGCACCCTCAACAGAATCCTACACACCAAGCAGCTGGGCTAGAGGGCAGGACCCAAAATGAGTATTTCCATCAGCATTTGAAAGTGGAGAATCTTTGCACTACAGAGACATAGCACAGGCAGGTTCCAAGCACACATCTCCTTTATGCCTTATAGGCCCCCCATAACTATAACTTATAAGCATAACTCTCCCATAAGCATAACTCTCCTCCATAAGCTCCCTTCCCTCTCCCTCCCTTCCACTCTCTTCCACAATGCTGGGAAAGGCAAAACCAAGAACTATGGCGTATATTCAGGTTGGCAGAGACATCAGGAGCAAAATTATCTTAGGCTAGATCTGATACAAAATGCCACCACTGGGAAACAAAGACAATCCAGCACTGACACACATACCCATGGCCTGGTATCGTGGGCTGATGGTGGTGGGGTGATGGAGCACCAGAATCTCTGCTTCGAACTCCCACGACGCTTGTGGATTCAGGCGGGGTGACACCATTACCATGCCTTTCCGGATGGAAGAACGCTTGATCTGAAAAGCAGAGACACAAAAAACCTTAGCGTGATTCTCCAGGGAAGAAATCTGCTGCTCTGGCTGACTGCACCCAGCAGAATCCTAAGGAATTTAACAGATACTACCTCACGCCCAGCAAAAGGCAAAGCAAGAGCTGCATAGTTGTATGTTATGTATAGGATATTATGTAAAGGTTGTAAAAATCAAATTCAGCTGAAGTTTATAAGGAAGCTTTAGAGTACTGGAAATGCTGGGCACTTGACACATTTACCTCACTGATCCTTCAAAAGCAAAACATACATCCTGGTTGCACATTATCCAAGAAAATGACCTCTCCTAAATCATGATGTCTGTTAATATAACTTGATAAGCCTGAAGACATGAAGTATGGTGTAGCTTAAACTATATTCCCTTAAAATCAGTGCAGCTTCTTTTGACAGCAATCTTTTGCAAGAGAAGTCATATCAAATTTTGCTGATTTTTAAATCCCAAATCATGCAGCTGGTCCTACAAGCCAAGAGGAGTAGTGTAAATACACTGTCCAGGCTACTAATGCAGTTCCAGCACAAAAGGAGACTTTTCTTGCAATGCCTCCACTTTATTATATATCTCCAACATCATTATCTAGTGGCATTGCTATCCCCTGGCTATGCTCCTAGGAGGAAAAACCAGGATGTGAATCAGAGAGGTTCCATGGGATTCCATTCCACTGCAACGTGAGGCAGCTGATGCTTGTAGAAACAGCCTGACTGCAGCTGAACTCCGAGAACACTTGAAAGAGGGCAGTTTCTGTCCTGGAGGAACAGGAAGAGATCATCTCACCTTCTTCAAGGCAAAGGAGGCAGTCTGGCCTCCCCGCACCTCCTTGACGGGCATCCTCTTGCGGTGGATGGACTTGACAGCAATAGGGAGGAAGTTGCCAAGGGGATCTGGCCCCAGCAGCAGGGTGTCATTTAGCTTGATTAGGCCTCTCAGTGTCGTCCCAGAGACAACTGTTCCTACACCCTACGCCAAAAATGAAAAAACAGTAATTGTGGTTACTCTACCAGGCCAGCGGAAGAGCTCTAGAACTCTCCTCTCTAGAGAAGATACCTTCTTCAGCCTAAAAGAGGGAACACAATATTCTTCCAAATACCAGACCCCTTACCGGGACAGAGTAAGTATCATCTATCTGGAATTCTGCTGGTTCTTCTTCCCTGTAACTGGTCCGTGGAGACAAGAGATTAAGAAACATCTTCAGCAAATCTAGATTCTCCCCAGTAACATTTGAAATCTGGAAAATTGGGCACATCCTGTAAAGGGAAATTGATGAAAATGGAGTTAGTTCACCTTCCTACCTGGCCTTCCACATGTAGGGAGACATCCAAAATCTTGGGACTAATTCAATATACTGAAGGGAGAGCCTGGCAAGCAGTCAGATGCACAACACCCCACGTTTGAAAACCTGCAACATTGCCTCTGCCTTCCAATGACATTTGGGAAAAGGTGTAAGGTTCTGAAGAAAGGACTGAAGAAAGCCGAATGCCCTGCAGTATTCTGCAGACTGCCCAGAAGCAGCCTCTCATTTCTGCCTCAGAGAGGGGAACACAAGCAGGTCAACCTCAAAATCAACACACTCTTATGGAACACACTCCACATGGCAGATGCAACCTTCACACATCTAGACAATGGGACTCTCTGAATCTCCTCACCCAGTCTCCACATAGGATTGAAAGAGAAATGATTCTCCTCTAGTCCCGTTACCTCTCTGAGCTGAAGTTGGAGGCTGTTACAATGACATCATCCTTGCTCTGAACCAGCACGGGAATCTTCCTGCACCCTGGGGACTTCAGCAGTCGCTGTAACAGCTTCAGGGTTTCTTAAAGGGTGAAATGAATATTGTTAGGGCAGCATCTCCCCTCTTCACAAATCACTTTTGTGGGGTCTCTTCCCCACAGGGAGATGGGTGCTCTGGCCACAGATAAGACAGGAGAAGATGGCTAAAGATGAGACTGTGAGTTTGCTGCAGCCCAGGTAGGACTTAGGAGCCATTCCATCTTCCATTTCATGCCAGCTAGCCTGCTGCCAAGCCACACCATACATGGACAGACAAGTTTGCAATGCTGTGAAGTAGACATTTTGTAGCTGTCTATTAGTAGCTTTAAGCAGTTACAAGGTATTTCCTCTTTCTAGAAAGTATTTTTCCTAGTGAATTAATTGAAAATCAGGACTCAGTGACAGAAATATTTGAGAATATGCTAATTGCAAAGCAATTTTGACCAAACAAACCTCAATATATTTTCCCTGGCAGTCAACTTGCCATAGGAAGCTGGAGAAGCATGAAAGAGGTAACGATTATCATCACAGACTAGGACAATGTGGGTGGACCATATTCAGAAATCAATATTTTGGGACAAATCTCATGACTCCCAATTTTCAGCTTTTGCTTCTTTTCAACTTATTTTTTTAAGCCTCATATCCAGCAGCCAGTAGGGACATTACCTGATGCACCAGTATCAACCTCCTACAAAGTGCCTGACAATAAATAAAGAAAAAACAGAAAAGGATACTAAGGGCTTAAAAGAGCAAATAATTTATGTTCTACAATTGTCATCCAATTAGACAGGTTTTTGTAAACAAATGGTTGCCTATGGGAAAGTAACATTTTGGATACAGAAACACAAACATCTAATCAGGCCATCTGCTCTTCACAGAAATACTTGAGTCAAATCTTGAGTCTATTTACTTTAAACAGAGCATGTCACAGGAGTAGCTTCTCCCTAGAGCAGCTCTTCTCTCCTCATGCTGAGCCAAAGGTTCTCCTTCCTTCCCAGTTATTATCTTATGGTCAGGCCTTACATTTATTTGCCAAACATCTAGTATAGAGGTATACAGATTATCTTCTGATCACATGCATCTATTTGTCTGAAACATATTTAGGATTTTTGTAGTAATGCACTGAACTACAGACAGTACCAGGAGCATTCATTTCTCTGATTCTTAGGACTGATTACCAAAAAACCCCATTGCTCCAATCAACCACAGCACGTTTCTGAAGGCCTGAGAAATGCTTAAAGACAATTTTAAAAGTGAGAATAGGTCACAGCCTGAAAAAACATCATGCATGGGTTAATGGGACACTGCTGGGGTTAGAGGTGCTTCTTTAACTCTGCTGAGAAAAAAATCACTAGCCCATGCTACTTATTGCCATCCCTGCTTGTGTCTAGTCCTGCCTCCCATCCTGCTACCATAGCCTACATATGTAGCTGCTTTAAACCATGATTTATTAAGTGCTGGTTGGTTGTTTAGACAATAGGAAGGGGTTGCTGTAGTTATGCCAGCATATCTGAGAAGTGCCCAGGTGAGCAGGAGGTAACAAGCAGCTGCCCCTTCACTAACAGCAGGGGGAGATCAAGTCCAATCACAGCTTAAGATCACACTCAAACTGTGGGCAGGGAGGAAAGCAGGTTCCAAAAGAACTTCCAGTCTTTTCCTCCAGGTTTAAATAGCCAGAGAGAAAGCAAAGCCCAAACATCAACTGTATGCTGCTCCTCTTAGAGCTCAATTAAGCAGAACCCTGTAGCAAACACTTTTGGGCTGCTAAGCTGAGTCCCCAGCATGGGTAAGTTCGACATGGTGAGTATAAGTCAAAATGAGCAAGAGAAAAGGATAGATTTCTGGAAGGTGTTTAGGAGGCAGTCAGAACCAGATTAAGCAGCTTTCTTCCAGCAGTAATTCCTGAACCCAAGCAGAGGACAGCAACACATACAGAGGTAAGAAACAGCCCTGGAGAGAGCCTGTAAGACTCACCTTGCAGGATGTTGGCAGGGCACATGTCAATCTTGGTCACCACAACAAAGACAGGAACGTTAAGTGCAAGCGCCAGGCCTAAGTGCTCCTTGGTCATTCCAACAATCCCAGCATTACTCCCAACCTACATCAGAGATATAAAATACAGGGATGTCAATGCTTCTTCTGCAGTAAGCTGGATTACAGAGAAGGACTTGTATCAGACATACAGTAGACTGTGGTTAAGTTGTAGATGTGCCACTGGGACCATATGACCAGACCCAGCTCATCTCAGATGTCGCTGCACACTGGCAAAGGACCGACTCATTTCTCCCCAGTTTTAACAAGGTTTCCTAAAATGCAGAAATCCTTCCATTTTCAAGAATCACAAACCTTGGGCCTGTCTGACACGGACAGTCCTGGGGCACTTGCCTCACAATACAGGACAGACAGCCACAGAGGCTTCTGCTCTCCTGCACTATGAGATGCTGCCTCCCTCCAAAACCCCACAGACACTTTGCAACAGAAAAGAAGCCGAGGCTGTTAAAGCTGTGAAGAGCTCCACTCCAGCTGGTATGGCCCATCTTTCTTGCTACCTACCATAAGCATGCAGAAGTCAGGCAAGTGGCCGGTCATGCCAAAGACGGTGGTTTTCAGGTATTTTTCGTGACCAGCCAGGTCAATGAAAGTAATGACCTTGGTGGATTTCTCGCAGATCTTTGTCCATTCCAAGCTGCCACCGTGGCTGTCAGGTTTGTTCACCACGTTGCCCTCGCTGTCGAAGCCCAGAATGTCATTGCCCACACTGCTGGTGCGGCCTGACTCAATCTCGTGCTTGTGGCGGAAGAGCTTTTGCCGAGCAAAGCCCCGGCCATTGTCTAACTCGCCGTGAGTCAAGACGCCCAGCAAGGTGCTCTTCCCTGCGTCCACATTGCCAACCACTGCTACCCTGCAGGGGAAAGGAAAAGGAGCCTGGTAAAATATGGTACCTGAAGAAATGAGCAAGTGATCAAAAAAACCCAAAATATCACTGCTCCTGCAAATAACTGGCTTTTGATCCCTATCCTTCAAACAGAGATTAAAAAATGTTAGAGCTTCACAAGCAAAGCGGAGATTCTTTTATAGTTATTAATTAAGAGAGGAGATCTCAGACTCTGTGGACTGGGATGTGGAAGACTGGAAACACTGTCACGGGTGTCCATAACATAGTCAACTGAACCTGACGCTGCTTGATGCCACACAGAGTGTCTCTATTCCAACTCCTTGTCTCCACAATCCAACATAAACACTGTGGCAACTCAAAAAGAAGACTAAATCCCAAGCTGGTCTAGAACACCTCTGCCTTTCTCACATTTCTTATGTTGCAACAGCACCAAGCGCTAAGAAGAGCACAAAAATTAAAACTGTTGTTCCTAGAAAAGGATAAGCTAAAAAAAAAGTGAAATCTTTTAGGAGAAAGCCATGTCCTACAGCAAGTTCCTTCTTTGATCAATGTGGCTATTATGGCTGTTGGCAAATGTTGGAAATCCTCTCCATCCAGGTCTGGGCAGACTCTCAAGTCATGTTATATAAGCAAGTATATAAGTCCATTAAAAGGTGACTTGGATCATCACAGTCTCGGAACAGAACCGGATCCTTTGTCAAAAGTATTGTGTTCCAGCAGTGTGCACATATACACACACACACAGCCACATGTGCACAGGTGACTCCCCTCTAGCAACCCAGCATACAAAAAGATGCCCCCAGCTGTGAGGCTGTCACCCAGAGAGCAACAGCCCTCTGCTAAACACAGGCAAATTTCCACCAACAGTTCGCTCACAAAAGAGACAGCAACAACAACAAAAAGGCAATTTCATCAGCAAGGAGGGGTGAAGCTCGACTCCCTTTGTTGGGCAGCTCCAACACCCCGACCCGAAGCGGCGTTGCTGGCTCAGCACCACGCACTGCTCACACGGTAAAAATGCAGCTGAGCTGCTGACTAACCCTGTCTCCACCCGGCTCCTCACCTGACCTCCAGGAAGTCGTTGTCACCCACACGTTTCCGAACCAGGTAGTCGCGCACCTTGCCCCCGGCCTCCTGGTGCTCCCTCAGGAGGATCACGTCGGCCTCGATCTGCTCTGCCATGCTCTTCAACGTGGCGTAGGACGCCTCCATGTCTGCCTCACTCAGCCCGTACTCAGTCCCATCTGGTGTGGTGTGGAGGAGACAAAGGGCAGTCAGTGAGCACCACCTCGCAACAGGCAGCAGCATTGTCATCCTGCCTGGGACCTTCACACACATCAGGATTTATATGTGGACTGGAGGTGTCAGCCGTGTACACAGAATAAACACCCTTGGCCCAAAATAAAAAGGGATGGTCTTCGCTCTAAGTCTTAAGAGACACTAGAAAACCACCATCTTTCATCTAGAGGAGTTTTCTTCACAATCTTTACAAGCAAATACATAGGGATTGGCAACAAAGACACATTTCTAATTCCCTTACTTCACCTGCTGAAGGTACTTTGTGTCCTTTAGTGAGATAAAGTATCTCCTCTCATATTGCAAGAAGAGGTAAAGCATTAACAAAAGGGAAGCTCTGAGTAAAGCATCATCACAATTAGCCAGTAAATGTGGTACTGCTTCCTCTGAGCAGCTCACCCAAGCAAAAGAGCTGACAGTGGCAACTATCTAGACAGGGTCAAGGCCACCACTGTCTCTTTCCCAAACCAGGTGCTGTGAAGACGCACAGATTTGACCCCAGAATCTCCTCCGTGGATAAAAAAAGCCCACAAAACAACAAACAAAGGTGGAGAGCCACACTGCACCCAGATGACCAAAGTTATTGCCATGTGTACATGTTCGTATGCATGGCTGACTCATCGGCTGCTAAGCAGGAACTGCAGTTTGCATGAACTTATCAGCATTTTAATTACTGCCCAGCTCTAAAACTAGCAGAGTTACTGGGCAATTTCCAACCTTGCTCATAAGCTGGCTGAGACTGAGGAATACTAAAACAAGCCTTGGGTTACAGGAGGGGAACGAGAAGTAGGGGACAGGAGATGGCAAGACCCAAGGGAGAAAGGGAAAGGTCACTACTGGTGAACTAATAATCTTCCTGTGGCAGTCTTCAATTGCTTCTCAGTCAGCTGAGTTGGGTATCTGGGATGATCAAAATCACACATGCTTGAAAGGGAATGAGAAGGAGAGACAGTGGCAGGGACAGCAAGATCCTTTCTCTGTTGAAAATATCCCCATCCTCCTCGACTACACTGCAACCCAAAATGAAGTCAAAAGTTTAACCTCATATTTTAAGAAACAAACGCCTATTTCTAAGTAAATCACTGCAACAACTACCAGTTAACACTCTCACAAGGTACCCTAGAAGAGAAAGCAGGTACTAGCCTGACTAGCTAGATCTCCACTGCAGATGTGCTTATCCCAAACACCAAGGATACAGACTACACTGGGAAGCTTGCTTGGAGGCAAGAGCATGATCCCTGGCTGCATGGACACTGCCCATCTAATTCTGGCTTCTCCTCTATGTTGGCTGCTTCACAAAACTCCAAAAAAACCAAAAAAAACCAAAAAAAAAAACCCAAAAAGCACACAGCTCCCTCCCTCCATTATTTTAGCCAGTCCTGGCAGGGTTTCAATTTTCCTCCTCAAACACAGCAAATGCCTCATCATGACAACTTCATATTCAGCAGATATCCAGCATACCTGAAATATGCATTTCACCTGTTGATAACCATAGACAATTATTTTATATCCAGAAATTTCTATTTCAAAGCAAGGGCATGCTTTGCCCTTTACCAGCATTTACCAGCATCAGATGCAAATACTCAAATTGTCAAAAAGAACAAAAATGTAATCCATGCTAACTGCTAAAATCTGCAAAGGCAAATGACTGCAATCACAAGCAAATTAATGTGACAATAAAGGTCTCATGCTGAGCAAAGGAAAACCTTTCCCTTCCTAGCAGAAACATACTACCACAGAAAGTCAAGTCAAAGCAGCATATATTTTGGCTATGTCAAGTATCTATAATAAATTCCTGTGGGTAAAAATATGTTATTTCCAATGGAGCAGTGAACCAAATCAAAGAGAACAAGACCTTCACAGACATCGAGGACATCTGTACTAAAGCTGTTATCATTTTAGATTCTTTGTCTTTTCTTGGTGTGCTTAGACAAGATATGCCTTATTTCCATATAAGAACTTGCATGATTTTATTAAAAAAATGTATTTAGCTCCATTACATGAAACAGTTGTTGGCAGGAATAAAACAAAAGAATCTGTCCCACATATTCTGTTATATTTTATGGACATTTTCAAGTCATTCTGGAAAAGTAAGCATTAACTTCAGCAGCAGTCTAGTTAGACGAACGAGGTTTTTCTTATAATTTTAATAATTTGTTGTTGTTTTGCTGGAGAAGCTATACTCACCTGATCCTTGTCCAATGACATAGATGGTCTCTCCACATCCCTCATCAATCCTCTCTGACATCTGCTGGAGCAAACTGTCATACTGCTCTGAAGTTGGACTCACCATCACCAGCTGGAAAAAAGATTGAATACCTATTTGCAGATGTCAGGCAAACAATTCCAAAACCAGCTTCAGTTACAAGCACAATCAATCTATGTGCTTTATTGAAAGAGAAGGACTCTTTTTCCAGGACCGCTTTGTGGTGGTTTTGTTTTGTTTTTTAAACCAGTTCTGCTGACAGCTACTTCCTTGTGACACAGCACAAGGTTGTTTGTCTGAGCTCAGAGTTCATTTATGCAAGAAAATACACTTCAAAGCAAGTAAGAATACCAAGCATCTTATTTTGATGTAACCAATGTTTAAAAGCCACATTTAAGTGAACACTCCAATATGTTTTCATTCAAGGAAAACAGAAAGGGCAGATTTTTCTCCACAGAAATTCCTTAGCTGGGTACTCCACAGTCTCTGCTGCAAAGAGTGCTGCTGCTCCCCTGAAACATGACTGGACAGCCAGAGAAAGCCAACCAGACCTCACTGCAGAGAGCATCTGGGCACCAAAATCCAGAGCATCTTTTAAGTCTTTCACGTATTTGATGTCCCTTCTGTTTTCTGAGGGGGCAGAAGGAAAGGAGAGAACACAAATAAGCATTATTTTCAAATTTTAGGTACTTTAAACAATGGTGCCGAGGGGCAGACATGCAAAGCAATTTATATAAGCACATCTAGAGGTTTCAGCAGTGGAGAGCTGCAGTTTTGTAGGCCAGCAGCTGTTCCACCAACAAACTTTGACTGCAGCAATTGCAATAATCAAACTTCCTTTGCCCTTCCCTGCAGGAACATCAAGAGAATGAAAAAATAAAACAAAAACAAAGCAGGAAATGAGGAGAAGAGAATGCGTCAGGAATGATTTTTCCTAGAATGAAATAGCACCATTTCTGGCAGAAACCTGCACTGCTCACACAGCAGAGCTGAAGACACCTGCACAGGGCAGCCACAATGGTGGCATGGCAGTGACAGACCAAGGAGACCTCCATCAGCACTCTACCTGCTCTCTGGCTGCCTCCATGGTTACAAATCTGTTGGTGGCTGAGCATCCCTGTACAGCAGCCTGATAGCTGTAGCAATTGATACCCATTTCTGTGAAAAAGGCACTTTAAGTAACAGTTATTAAAGGTTGACACCCACCTAAGGGTAGGCACACCTGTGCCAACACTCAGTGACATCCACAGTTGTCCCTACATACACAAAAATCACACCCAGAAAGAAGCACTTTCCTTCACTATGCACTGAGACTGAAAACTGTGCTAAATTAGATGTTTGCCTAAAACATATGGTTTAGAGCCGTTGACAATAACATCCTCCAGTCTGCCCAGCATTCTCTACCACAGCCTGACTTGCTCAGCACAGTCAACACAATGTGTTTTCAAGGAGAAACTACCTTTAGCACTACTATTACTACCACTATTACACACTTGATGAAGGCCTTTTTTGGAAATCTAGAATGTAAAGGAACCCAAACCCCCACAAACAATGTTTAAGCAGCTTTCAAAACCATAGAGATGCATGCTGGGACACTGAAGCACAGACAGCAGGTGCTAGTTAGAAGGATTAAGGCTGCCAAAGCAACTTTTTCCACAGATGTTAAGGGTCCCAGGCAGCAGGGATGTGTCTGCAAGGGCCAGACAGCTACAAGAGATACAATCACCCTCACATGCCCCTTTTGGACACATGCCCTACCTAAGCCTTTCAACTACTTGGCAAAGTGGTCTGCAAAGTGTACCAAAGCACTCTGCTCTGCAAGGTCACAGTCTTTCTATTTCATGCCATAAAAGAATGAGTTTTGCTTTTATTAGTTTTTCTTTCAGTTCTGTTTTACTTTTAGTTTCATTTTCTTCTTGAGGGAAACCACTGGATGTAAATGCACTGAGAGTGAAATCAACAGCTGTTGAGAGGCTCAATCTGGGCAGGAATGGAAGGCTGTGTTTTGATGTGTAGGGCTCATTTTGCCCTGCAAATACTTTCAGGAATACCCAGATGCACAGCAGACAAGCTCATTCTTTAGGCCAGTGCACCAGCACAAGCCAGGGACTCAAGAAGATCTGAGCTGTAACAGGCTGTAACACAGGCTGTAACACACACAAAGATCAATAACATAGCAGGGGCCACCAGTACAGGGCAAACTAACTTCAGTTTCTTCAAGTCTCATCACCAGCTTTGTTCTTCTGAGTCCAAGTGCTTCAGCAGTGTGAGCAGGCAGGGTGCTGTAACAAGCACCAAGGCACTCAGCAGCTCATTGTACCCTTTCCTCACGCTGCCAGCAGGAGGGCTGGGGGCCTCAAACAGCACAGGCTCACATCAGCCCACAACACTGTTCCCCCACACTGCTGCTTTCACTGCCATGCAAAGGCACTCCTGAAGGGTGTTCCAGTAGCAGACTGCTTCCAAAGTTTACTCCGTGGCCGATGGAGCTTACAGCTCATATGACACAGCAGGACATCAAGAGAAGTATCTGTAGATAAAACAGCAGCGTTCACAGATCACACCTTCCAATGCCACTCAGCGTTTCTGATAACTACTTCTGCAGTCACAGCCCCAGCCAGTTGTGTGGTTTCCTGGATCATTGCAAGATGTGATGTGCTGTTTTGAAGATCTCTTTAGTTTCCTGTCCTCTGCTATCTCCTTGGTCAAAGACAAGCGCTCCGTTTTGGCTCCTCTGCTTTTTTTGCTCTTCACCTTCGAGCAACCCCTCCATGGCTGCACTGCAAATGCATGTTTTTAAGAGGCTTTCACAAAGTCAAAAATGTTCACTTTTGTCCTTTCCACTTTGTCAGGCACTGAGCAGTTATCAGTAGGAGCCATGCAGGTCTAGCAACCTCAGGTTTCCTATAGGAAAAAAAAGTGACAACCAGTTATTGTTTTATTCTTAAGACAGCAAAAGGAAACATCTCACAGGTTCAAAATACCATCTCTCAAGTCCCTTCCCAGTCTCTGGGGAGGAGAGGTGGCTTTGCCTGCCTCCATGAGGCAGACAAACTGTAAGTATTAGGGGCAAACCAAATACTATGTGGTACACAGTGCAGCTCTTTGCTGGAAAAACAGAGCCTGCCATTTTGCACAGCTGGAAAGCCACCATCAGCCATCGAGGAGCTGGCGGAAAGGCACCTTCTGTAGTGTCACATTTTGTTTTCTATGCCCTGTAGACATACATTGTTCAGGTGCTATTATGTTCTGTTGTCAATGTAGATCTAATATGAGTATCAGCTTCACTAGCAGCCTTGTGTGCTATGGTTTTTGACCTGAAAGTTGATTACTGCTGCCGTGTGCTGGCACTGAAGGGAAAACAAACACCCATTAAGATCAACATGGTAATGAATTTGTGCTGATGAAAGGAACTGTTTCCCTGACCAGCAGACAAGGTGCACTTGATAACAGAATCCCAAAGTGTTCCTCTCTAAAAAGAGCTCACCTTACGCAGAGGGAAATGATCAGGGGAAAGTATTAACACAGCCAAGGGGTGGGTCAGAGGGACCAGGACAGAACCAGCAACTATCAAACAAACTGATTGCAGTGGGAACCCCCATTTTAAGTAGGGATTGGAGTGGAACAATTCAACTGGAGAAAAGTTGCGGGGGTGGGGAGGTGAGGGAAGCACAGGTTAGCTACTGCATTCTCACCATATGAGACTGCTCTTTTGAGCACACAGTGGGAGATTAACTCAGAAAGATGGAGCAGAGCTCACAATTTCAGCTCTCATCCAAGGTGGGGATGAATGAAAAGTCCAGGGAAAAGACAGCAGGTGCACAATGCTGTATGGAAAAGTAAATTGTAATAAAGGTCAAAAAAATGCTTACCTACCACCTCCACAGCACCTCCAGATTTCCAGGAATGGAAGACAGACTGACACTACAAATGGGAGTTTGTGGAAGAAAAGCACTCTTCTCTCTTTGTCGGAGTTTTGGTCAGGTTCCTGGCTGTCAAGAATCAGTGATGCAGTCCTTGGCATCCTCCTTGGCTCTCTTCCACAGCAGTCACGTCCAAGACAAAGGACAGATCAATATTGGCATCCTGTATAAAAATCTTGTCCAGCTCATTAAGGCACAATCAATAGATACTACAGGTTTGATTTCTGTTCTTTACTACCTTACAAGACATCTTTGTAACATTTGTTTTAATACAGTACCACATTGTAAAAAAAAATCCATTAAAAAGGAAAAGGTTTCCATGTCCACAGACACAATTCCTCTTTCCTTCTCTGCACAGAGAGGGCAAGAAAGTCCAGGACTCTGGAACAGCTTAAGCTCGAAGCATGAAGAGGGGGGATGACAGAAAACTAGGAGGAAACAACAGCTATGCTAACTTCTGGATCACATAAATACAAGTGGACTGAATGAAGTTTTCAGGAGACTTTAGAGTGGGAGATAGCACCACAGTACACCAAAGCCGTGGCAGCAAAAGGCATACAGTTAAAGAGATCAGTCAATTGGGAAAAAAAAATAGAAGACAGTGACAGAAGGCAACTAAGTCTGTGGCAGGCTCTGGTACACACATATTACTACAATGTACCTTCCTGCAGGATGGAAGCGAGAACTGGTTCTGACAGAAATAAGACCACCACATAGTTTTGTCACTGGGATCCTAGAAAGGAGCTGCACAAGGTAAACAAGCCCTTTCTGCGTTGACTTAACCCTGTTTGCAAGAGCAGAGCACCCTCGTCACTGGGCTCTTGTGCTCAAAAGTCACAAGCTCTGACCTCCTTTTAAGATTGTGGAGAAAGTCCCAGGAACTAGTACAACTGGCAGCAGAGATAACTACAGAGCCCCAGCGCGGAGAGCAAACGTCAGCGGGACGTTGCAGCAGCTGACAGCTCCAAACCCTGCGCTTCCTGAGCTGCCACACCGGCGCCGGGCCGGCGTTCCCCCCGAGCAGCCGAGCCGGGGAAGGCGCAGGGCGGAGCAGCCCGCCAGCACCTCCTGTCCCGGCCGGCCTACGGGACAACTTGACTGCGCCTCTCCCGACCGCCTCCACACGGCACCTCTGGCTCTGCCGCCCGCACAGGTGATGCTGGGGCCGGGGGAGCGCTCAGGGGAGCCTCCCGTCCCGGCGGAGGCAGGCGGGCCCCAGCCTTTCGCTCTCCTGCGACAGGTGCGGGGGAGCGGTCAGCTTCGGGGCAGCCCCCCGCGCACGGCCGACCGGCAGGGAGGAGAGCAGCGGGGCCTGGCGGGGTGATGGCGCTCGCCGCCGCCCGCCCCCCCGCCGGGCCTACCTTACTGGTGAGGTCGATCTCGGGCTCGCCGTTGAGCGCCTCGCCGTCCTCGCCGTCGAAGGCTGCGCGGAGGGGACAGGCGGCCGCCGCCACGCGAGGCCGTCCGCCCGGGGAGCCGGGCTCCGGGGCGAACATACAGGCCGGCACCGGGGACCCCCCGGGAACCGGGGATCTGCTCCGCTCCGCCGCCGCCATCTTCCCTTCCCTGCCCGGCTCTCCGCCCCGTCGCCGCCCCCGGGCCCGCCAAGGCGGCGCCCGCCAATCACCGGCGGCGCAGCGGCTAAATTTGCATGTTGCCATGGCGACAGTGGGTGGCGTAGTGGTTATTCATGAGGAGAGGCCACGCCCTCTCGAAGCGCGCGAAGCCAATGGGAGACGCACTGCCAGCTCGGCTTGTTTTCTACACATACACACACACAACAGAGCCGCTCGACGTGTCCGGGGTCGACTGTCCAATAGGAGAGCTGGGCTTCCTGACAAACAACCTTGACAGCCAATCGACTAAGCGATCCCAAAGGTATGGGTGGGACTAAGTGCTGCAACAGAGCCCGCCCTGGTGGGAGGGCATTCTCTAGGATTAGCCAATGAGAAAGAGGGGATTTTTTTACTGATAACTGTGTCAGCCAATGGAGCAGGGTGGGAGGGCGCCTGGTGTCCCTGCAGTCCGCGGGTCCTCCTGTCCCGGCGCGTCGTGCCGCCAGCTCCCGGGGTTCGCAGAGCACCCCGCCGCTCCTACCGCCTCGGGCTCCCTACAGAAAACCCCTACGCCTGCTCGCCATGCGAGCCCACAGTGTTCAGACCGCCGGCAGGGGCCGCCAGCGCCAAGGAGGAAACCCCTCTGGCTGAGGGGCTCTGCGGACGGCAGGTGACCCCTGCAGAGCGGCGGGGAAAGCTGCCTGTCCTGCTCCTCTGCCCAGCCCCACGCACGCCTGCGGCACCACCGCCACAGGCGCCAACCTGTGGCACAGAAGGCAGCCGGGGGAGGAATGACGTTTGTTTATTCAGCGGGCGGCCAGACCGCTTTCGCTTCTGTCCCTGCTCGTTTTGCCGCTGACGTCAGAGGGGGCGGGGCCGACGTCGGCGCGTGCGGGGGGCGGGGGGCCGCGCGCGCGCGTGTGTGTGTGCGTGCGTGCGCGAGACCCGACCGGCCTGGCCCGGCCCGGCCCGGCCCGGCCCGGCGGGGCCCCTCCGACCCTCCCGAGGGCAAGGGCGGGCGCCTCGGCCCAGCAGCGAGCCCCGAAGGGCTGGGTGGGGGTTAGACGGGGGCCTCTCCTCAGCGCGGTGGGCTGCGGGGGTCGCTGGGCCTTGGTCGTGGGAAGCGGCTCCCGCCTGGGTTGCTGTTGTTGTTGTTGTTTTGGTGGTGGTGGTGGTGGTTGTGAGGGCGTGGGGTGGGGAAGGGCGGGGTGGAAAGGTGCGAGGCAGGCCGTGGGGCTGGTCCCGCCTGCCCTACCCTCGCTCCCACGGGCTTTGAGCTGCCTGTGGTTGCTAACGGAGACTTCCCTTTGTCGGAGCGCAGGGTGACCTGTGAGGAATCGCCTTCCCCGCAGCCTGGACTTGGGTTTCTCGTGGCCTAGCAAGAAGTGGTTTCCTTTCCCGAGCTGTTGGCATCTTTCTGCCAGGATTCAGTCGTTCCCAAAGGAATGGAGGAATGCAGCTGATGAGTGCTTAACCACCCTGTACTCTATAGGCAGTACCAGGCACTTGCTTCATCTTCTTCCTTTTGGCACTTTGGGGGTGGACCTCTCCTTGATACCTGGTCTGGGTACTTTTTTAGTGGCACTGTAGACCAAAGGAGATGGAAGAAAAGGAGCGATGTGATAAATTCCAGCTGGTACCTTGACACTAAGGAGAATCCTATATTTTGACTTTTTTTGTTGTTTTTTTTTCCTGTGGAGGGGAGGGAAATACTACATTTTGTGGGGTATGGGAGGAGGGAGGTTGCAGATCTTCATGTGGTTTTTAAAGCCAGCTGTCAGAGGCAATTACTGAATAGACTGAAGCACAAGAGGAGGATTCGCAAGCTGGAAGCAGCGCTAGCCCACAAAAGGAAGGGGCAGTGGGCTGTTGTTGTGACTGTGGAGGCAGAAACTTCAGCCTCCTTCATTTTTCACCACCTACTCCCCATCCACCCGTCGAGAAAATGAGTTGTGTGCCATGGAAAGGTGACAAGACCAAATCGGAATCTCCCGAGCCATCCCAGCTACCGCCACAGCACATTTACCATGAGAAACAGCGCAGGGAGCTGTGCGCCCTCCATGCCCTCAACAATGTCTTCCAGGACAGCAACGCCTTCACTAGGGAAACCCTGCAGGAGATTTTCCAGAGGTAGGATGCTCTCTGTACTGGCATTAGCTTCCCCTTGTCCTCTGCTAACTGGAGGAATTTTGGGGTGTTATCTGGGGGGAAGTAGAAAGAAAAGGAGGGATTCAGACTGTGCCACTGCTTTGAACTGAATGTATCTTGGTTTTTTTAACCCCAGCCTTTTTTTTTTTCCCCTACATGCAGAAATTCTTTCTCATTTTACTTGTTTCTTAACCTGTTCTGACTGCCAGCTTTGGGTCCAAGGGTTTTATTGTAGATGCTGTTGTGGTTGGACTGCTGTCTTCCTCTCTTCTCACCTTAAAGCCTCTTCTACATGTCTTCCATATTTTTGCCCCTGACTTGTGTAGATAAATTACCTAGATGTTAATAATATATTTGGGGATTGCCTTGGGAGAATGAAGGTAGCAGGAATGACTTCTTGACTTATTACTGCAACACTTGTAAGTTTTTTAGAAATTAGGAGTTTTGCCAAATGAGTGATTCCATATTCAAAAGGTTCAGTGAAGTTCTTCAAATATTATGGGCTTTTTTTTTCCATGCAGCAAGACTCTCTGTACTCTCTCAAACTAGATTTAATTTCAGTAGCTGGATGCCTGTTTCCTGTGGCATTGCTAAATGTTTCCCAGGAGCTTCAGATGATTAATAAAGTGGGTTTGAGTTTTACAGGGATGAATATAAATTATTAACGTGGCCTATGCAATAGCTCATATTTTGCTCAGTGTTTATTTTATTGTGTTTTGATGCTTTATGGAAATTCTCCTGTGTGGGCCTTTATAATTCTGGTGACCCACCACTGATGAATCTAAGTGATGATAAAGGAAATTATGGAAAAGGGCTCTCCTGTGATACTCAACCTGCAGATGTTGTAAAGATGCTGCAAGTTATGGTTGAATGCCTGTTACCAGCAGTTGCCAGCATCTCGTGTTTGTGACAAGCAGGAGATCGCACATCATGGCAGCACGTGCTGTGGGATGAGGCTGTTGTGGTACCCTGTGCTGATGAGTAGGGAGCTGTTGCTGCTCTCCTGAAAACTGGCAAATTTATGAAACTGGTGCTTGACTCATCAAACTCATGCCTGTCTTTGGCAAAAGAATGTGGTGAAGGACAATAACAAGTATCAGATTGAAATGCTATTTATTATATAGCATTGTAGGTGAAACTCCTGCTGGTGGAGTGGAGATGGCCCATGGCAGGCTCAAGGCACTCTTTGTCCGGCGTAAACACACTGTGGTTTTGTTCCAGAGCAGCAATTGTCAGAATCTTAATCACAGCTGGATTGCTCTTGGCCTGAAGCAAACAAAGGCAGTTCATGTGGTAGAAGGAGTGTGATGATCTAATTAGTTGGCTTTCATTGTGTTTGGTGAGACAGAATTAGTGTGCAGCATGAAACTTCTCAGAAAAAGACTGGATATTAATCTTGTTGGACCTCTTTCCCTAGAAAGGAGAGTTTGTCTTTTATTCCAACCTGGAGTTGTTCCATCCTAATATTCAGATCAAGATACAGAGATTGATTCATCCCCATGATAGTATGGAAATACACATGGATATTGCTCTTGGAAAGGGATGAGCTATAAGTTATACAAAAGAATTGCCACTACCTTTCTATTTCTGTTGAGTGCCTACTTGTGTGTAGCTCTTTGACTTGCCTTTAAGAAGCGTGAATTTAGTTCCCCTTTTTATGTCACTTGTCTTTTTCTGTGTCTACTCACATTCTATGTATTGATAAAGGATGGATGAATATTTTTAATAACCTGCAAAAATGTTGAGGTCTGATTTTTAAACCTGGTATTGACAAGGTAACAAAATCACAAATAAACTTAAGCTCTCTAGCTTTTACCACATTCCTTGGAAAATGATTGAACCACATTGCTTAATCATTAGCTTCCCTTTTGCTGCATCCTGTTGTGTAAGGCCAGGGTAACATCTCAAGCATATGCTGAAACTTGGTCTGGGCACCCCTCTGATTGTGTAGTCTTTCCCTCTTCTTTCCTCTAAAGCGAGAAATACCTTCTTGGTGTTCCCCTGGCTTTTGTTGCAGGAAGTATGATTGCATGTTTCAAATGTTGCATGGAGATACAAACAAAATCTCTTTGCTTCACTGGAGTCTGCATATTGAGACCTGATTAGGAAAGACAACTGCATGCAGGAATCTTGGAGCCCCTTGTGTTAAGACAACATGTTGATGAAAGTTTCTGATAGAAGGATCAGGAGGATTATTTACCTGGATTTCTGTCCAGCTTTGTCAGTCTTCCTCAGCTCAGTGGCTACATAAAAAATACCAAAACAACAATTTAATTCCTTGCCTGGTCAGAATCCTTCAGCTGATGATTGTGGACCCTGCTTAGGTATGTGTGGGTCAAGATGTTGAGGTGGCTCTTGGGGAAAGTTTGTTCACAGAAGCCAGTTTTTTGTTGCCCGCGCTGGTCACCTCATTGCATTTTTGGGGCTCTGGAAGTTATGTGAAAGAACAAAGATAAATGTGTTCTTTCAGCTCTTGAATAAACTTGTCTGGAAAATGGTGCCATGAGAGGGTGCTTCTGCAGCCCAAAGGGCTCTCTGCATTGTAAGGTTTTCCTTGCTCGCTGGCACTTAGGAGAGTTGGTAGGTTGAAGCAATGATCTTGAGGAATTAGGGATAGCCAAGTGATCTTGCTTTATGGAGATGCTGGGAGAGCTGTGACAAGCTGCAGGTTCTGTCTCTGTGATTAGTAAAATACACCCCCATGGTGGGTATTAACAGCTTTTCCTCTTACCATGGTACTGGACTCCTCTCCCTTCTGTAGTGAACATGCTTCCCAGACTGTTCTGCTGCAGACTGCTCCACTGCAGAAAAACTCACATCTGAAGACAAAGGCTACCTGCCTGTAGCCTCTCCAGCCTTGGTTGCTCTGAAACTCCCTGCTCAGTCCACTGCTTTCTTGTCAAATGCCTTACGCTGTCATGGTGTCACTGAAAACGGGGAAATAAACTCTCCACAGCTGGTTAAGTAAGAAAGCTGAGATTCCTTTATTCAGCATGCTGGGTGCATGGGGATCACTCCACCTAACATGTGCACCCAGCAGTCTAGTAGTCATATAACCAGACCAGGCTATATGCATGAAAGCAGTATATATTCACTGCACTTCTATTACAAATGCATTATATTT